TCAACCTATAAGGTATAATCGCAAATGGAGGAAAAACCTAGAAGAAAAAGTGTTTCCTATTATTGGTGAATATGCATCCACCTTGCAAGAATTAGGGTCTGGCTTCCATAACATAAACTCTCTACATTTTGTACTGACTGATGAATCGGTTGAGTATATTTCTGGAGAGCCTAGTTGATTTAAAATAACATCAAAATATTTTCCTGACAATTCATATTCTGTTTCAATTGAAGTGCAGCGTGATTTGCTAACGGCCTCAGTATCTTGTTCCAAATTTATATATGAGGCAAATATCCAAATCTATCTATCTAACTACCATTTGAGTAGTCTCCTAGCCAGAAACTATTGTTTCTTATCGGCATTCTGTTTCTTGAAACAGATTCTGATCAACAATTGAAATCGACTAATATTCTAGTGTAAATGTTCATGAAATCGTAGCCTCATGGTTGAAGCGTCAGTATTTTATCTGGATTGCCGGTAGGTGGGTTCGATTCCCACCACGACCACAAAAAAAATTTCTGATGGCCTAAGAGAGTGTTTGGAATCACACGTTAATAAAGGTGTGACCCCCGTCATTCCTTGCTCGCACAAGTCTCTTGAAGACTTTTGAGGGTTGCTCGTAAAGAGGCAACCGAATTATGGATAAGAACTTTTTTTTTCTCGAACATTTCGTTGACTATAATCACCATTAGAATTATCGAGAGCCATAGCTCACAGCCGGACAGGCTGAAACAAGTATTCCAATATAATTTGCAAATTCCCTGATTTCACAAATTTTGTTAATTTTCATTTTCTGTGTGAGATTTTTAATTTTGTCAATTTTTTCTCCAGGTAGTGATATTTTCATGTCAGTAGTTTCGAATGAAAATCCAAGAAAAGTACACCTCAGGCAAGGAGTAAAGATGGTCAATATTAGTTAAAATTAATTTTGATCCCAAAGCACTAACAATCTTATAACTGTCCTAGAATTTTTCTGACACTTCCTCCATATACTCTTTATTGCAATAACTACTATTACTAGTATGTCATCTAGATAAATTATACATGTGACAGGTAGCAACTTTTCTAAATTTTTATAAGGCAGGATTCATCGACTCAGTAAACACATGTGGTACTATAGAGCGATAGATGTATAGAATGTCAAAGTAAAGAGGCCCATTGGGATTCAATTAATTGATCATTTTTGTTTTCAAATTTAAAACAGATATGTTCGATCTATCTCTCTAAAGATACAGACTATTAAGCATCTTTCAAGTCTACTTTTGTGAGATAACAATTATTATATAGAACCTTCTTCACTACTGTTCGATAATCCTCTAGTATAAAGTATAGAATTGTATTAAGGTTTTTCAGGTCTAGTATAAACCAGTGAGTTATATTTGATTTCCTGGCGAGGAAATATGAGGAGAGAAGAGATTCTTCCATGAGGCCAATTATTGAAACTGTATCTATGCTCAGCAGCTTATTTATAGCCTTTCTCATCTCAACCAAATTTCTTTCCTGTATGGAAGTTATTGGCCAAGATTGTTGATAAGGTTTCTTGACAAAATTCATTCGATAACCCTACACCTAACTCAAGATGGGGGGATAATTGGTTGAAGCTTTACAATTTCTGATTTGTACAGTAATGGATCCTGTACTGCTGCTCACCTCTGTTGAAATTGTTCCTCTATTTCGCTTAAAGCCTGAGATGTTGGCGGTTATTAAAGTAAGAGGAAATAACGGCTTCTTGAGCAGATGCGCTCCAATATTCTTCATATCTCGAATCTCGATTGTATTTTACTCATGTAGGCATACGACCCGAACAGTTGCTCCTTAATAGGCCCCTCCACACATACTTTTTTGGTGGTGAAGTTGAGATGAGGAATGATCAAGTCCGCCGATGTAACGATATGGAGTGAGAGTCATCAGCCAAAAGTTTAGTCCCATTGACATATTTCCCAAAATTCCATTGGATTCATTTGTATTGGCTTCGACTACAATTATTAATTGGGTCTAGCTACTGCAGAAAAACCCTTTACTAGCTATTACTGTGAATTGATGAGGAACTCATTCAACAGACCTTTCCGGGAGAATGGATTGCATTTCATCAGGGTTGAGCTTTGGGGAATCATTACCTAACTTCAATCGGAGGATACTTGGTAACCATTTCAGCTCTGGACTCTTGTCGATTCCTTCAGTGAGGGAAACCTTTCAGGCTCCTGCAATTTCTTTGTGGATCACCGGTCCAAAAAGAGGCCTCAGAATCAGGATTATTTCTTCCAGAGAAGTAACTCTTCAGGAGGATGAACTTATGTTGATTCTCTCTCTAAATCTTGGGGATCCTCATCAGGAAGCTCAACTGGTCGATTCTCACTTTCGAAACAATTATATATGATGCGAGTGTGAGTTGCTCCAGCTACTGCCACTGGTCGTGAGGTCTAGTGTAGAAAAAAGAGACAAAAAAAATTAAGCTCTGTCTACAGTATATATACCTCCTATATTGTGAATGTGAGGCTCGGATGAACGGAGGAGTGAGGTTCCCCTCTCCCCCCCCCTTATTTTTCAAGCTTGACTCAATCAAGTATATGTAAATAAGTATACCGATAAGAAAATGTTTTTTTTTTTTACCTGTCAATATTGACTTGATAAACCTGCCACGTAGTGACATTAACAAAAACAAAAAACTCACAAGAAACTGTTCATTAATCAGCTCTGCCATATTTAGCTCTTCTCAGGCCAGTCTTGGGCAAATCTATAGTAGCAGCGCCTCGTATGAGTGCGTGTATTGTATATTATATGTTAACGATATTACCTTATAGCTACGCCATTGTAGCTAGAATGTGGTAAAGATGCTTAGTCAGGAAATGTCAGCAGTCTGAAGTCGAACAGCGTTGAATATTGAAAATACGAATAATAAAAAGACTTTGGAGTTAATTCCATCATTATTAGGGATGATTGCCTCTTGTAGTTTACATATTTTTCGTTATATCCAGCGTTTGCCGGATGTATATAATAAAAAAACCAAACCCTGCATTCAGATGATAAACAAGGTCATAGTACCGTAGCGGCGCCTCGTATGACTGCCTGTATAGTAAGTACATTTTCCATTTTATCCAGCGTGTGCCGAATGTCCATAATGAAAAAAACAAACCCTGCAGTCAGTTGATAAACAAGGTCATAGTACCGTAGCGGCGCCTCGTATGAGTGCCTGTTAGTACATTTTTCATTTTATCCAGCGTGTGCCGAATGTCCATAATGAAAAACCAAACCCTGTAGTCAGCTGATGAACAAGGCTATAGCACAATTATTGCTATAATAGTAGCGGCGCCTCGTATGAGTGCCTGTATAGTATATTTTTCATTCTATCCAGCGTGTGCCGGATGTCTATAATGGAAAATCCAAATGCTGTCGAATTAAAACTGAACATTCCCATCATGCTTTGTGTGTCCACCATTCCTCAATTTCCAGCTATGATGTAATTAAAGTAATGTGTAGGTACTTAACTTACTCGATAAACTCGATCGACTAAATATTTCTTGGCACTCTAATTTTCTTTTTCAATTTGGGTATCTTTCTATAATCTTTCGTTGATTTTCCACTTTTGCCCATGATTAGGTACACTTTTTATCACGTTACTAAAACCACAGTTGCTAAAACTAAAACACCTCTAAATCAACACTTGTCTCTGAAACGTTCATACCCTAGCGGTACGAAAAGAACAATGACTATCGGCTGCTAGGCGGTATCGGTTGGGCACAGGAATGTTAGGTATCAGGGTGGAGGTTGAAAATTTGTCTTTGAACTTCGTACCTAGTAGAGTCGAAAGGAACGACTACAAGTGGTTATTTTTATAATTCGAGACGAAAATGTGAAATATAATACCAATAATACGACGTACACCACTCAACTCTGATGACATCTAGTAATATTGATTGTCTGGTTGGTGGTCCCTCGGGTCCCCTGTCTATCATTTTAGTACCTATGCATCTCCATCAGGATGATATCAGTTACTCGTATTTGTATCAAAAATGATGTAGTGTGTGTCGGCGAGATTAAAGCAAACCAAGAATAGTTTGATAGCAATGTATCGATCGAATGTTTGCGAGTTTTACTTCACTTTATTGAGTAAACGTATATTCATATATTCTTTTTCACCCAACAAGAATCTGAATAACACATTTTTGACAAATTCTCTAAGATGCGGAGATATATGTACATCGCAGCGATGCAACATTCGTGATATCACAGTGTTGCCTCATATCATGACATCTTATAGAGTTGCCAGGTTGTAGATGTGTTTGCTTCCTGTACATTGTACATCGCTGCGATGGAACATCTGTAATATCGCACTGTTGCCTCATCGCGACATCTCAGAGATGTATGTGCCTGCTTTTGTAAATGGCAGCGATAGAACATTCGTAATTTCGCAGTTTTGCCTCATCGCGACATCTCAGAGTTGTAATTGCAGAGATCTCAGACGAATAAAAGAAATTTATTCGTCTGAAGCGCAGATTTTTTCGCTTATGAACATCGCAGCGATAGAGCGTTTGTGATAACGCGTACGCGTGCATGGATATAAAGAATTTATCTAAATCTCAACAGGAAAAATTGTGAGAATATTCAATAGAAAAGGTACCTTTCTATATTTCGTCATCATTGGAAAGACATTTTTGAGAGCGTTCTGAAATATACTCAATGTTCCTATTTCTTAAAATATGAGAATTCTCATTTCAGGCACTAAATTCAAATTGTTCTAGAAATATAAAAAGGTATAATTAATAATTCATTTTTCATATTACAATATCGAAACAACATACATTAAACATTCCATTTGCATTCCATGGATTAAATATTTTACTGTTTTTGATTTCCCTAGGATTATAATGTAAACCTGACAACATTGGTACGCGCATGGCTGTGTCACGCTGTGCTCTAGTCTCTCTTTCTAGTCTGATTAGTGGACGTGGTATAGAAAGAGACAAGAGCACCATTGACACATGAGAAATCAAAATTCGATTGACAGTCATGGTAGAGTGTGCTGTGGTTGTGGTTGTCAAATAAGACCTGCATTTATTTGTTTTTATTTTACATTTTACAAATTTCGGAAATGCCTGGAAGTGAATTACAAAATGGACATAAACATTACACGAGGGTTTGGTGCGATGGCTGGTGAGTACAATTTACAGTTTTGTTATTAATTTGATTAAATATTCACCTTGGTTTCGGTTCATCTCAACCCGGATGCTGAGAACTCTATCAAAAATGATAGTCAGCTTCGAATTGGGGCCTTGAAATAATGGATATTCATAGATATCCGCAAATGTTTTCATAAGTAATGAAAACTGGCAAATACCTTTATAAATGATACACCTTATTTAAATTGTTTGTTTATTTAGATCAAACCGATATTGAATCTATCCCTTTCGGCTTCCCAGGACCCTCTGATGGGTGCTTCGAATATCGACAACTGGGCCCAACTCCTGTTAAATTAGGAGATTAGGACTAAGTCTCGGGCCAAGTATACCTACCTATATTCGTATTTGATCAAATATATAATATACACATACAGATAGCTAGATACTTCCCATCAACTTACCTACTCAGGTATACCTACCCCTCATTATAGGTACAAGTGGAAACTTGAAGATATTGTTGAGGATATAAAAACGTTTGAAAATCACAAATCACAATATCATATAATACCAAGATGTAGGTATTGATACCATTCCGCTATTTTATACTTAGGTATTATATACCCGATTTTTCCCATGTCTCAGGATTCAATTTTCTGGGGAATAAAATTATTTCCCTTTCCTCTTTTGTTCCTTATTGTACTCCATTATTTGTACAATTTCTGTTTGGCAGAAGCGATTCTGGAGACCCTGTATAAAATAATAAAGATTATAAAATGATATTGAATATATATTGTTAAAGGTACCTAATAGCGGTACCTAGGTATTCCGGTTCTCCATATTTTTCTTTGAATATAAAAAAATGAGGATTCGTATTTGTATGCAGCACCGTATGTAAATAAGTACCTTAGGTATATTATTCAAATTATAGGAAACAAATAAGAATGGATATAATATACAAGAAATCTAGACGCATTTAGAATATTCAAGAGGTAATGATCAAGGCCCAAAAACTAGTACACCAAACTTCCCTTGGTGCAAAACATCCCGAATGTCCGCGAATGTTCTCAAACATTCCCGCACAACTACTCCAAAATCCCTCGAACTTCCCCAAACTTTCTCGAACTTTCCGAACTTTCCAAACTTCCTCAGACTCCTCCGAACTTCCTGAACTTAGAGAGAATTCTGGAATATTGGAATTATCGTTTTGATAATGAAATTTGGTTTATCTAGTTGTATCATCTCCTATTTGATGAAGTGATTAATTATTGAGAGTAAAAACGTCAAAAATCAATTTTTTATCAATATACTTCAACTGATTGTGCAAATTTGAAGGGACAGTGATTGTATCTCGGAGACCGTTTACTTACCTCGAATTTACCAGTACCGTACCAAAGTTTACAGAAATATTTTTAATTCTGTAAACTTTGACCTTACCGTCGAGCGTACCGTGGTCAAAGGAAATTGCTGAAAATTTCGTCTGGCGTCTTCAGAGATATCACTCTAGATATCCCGATTTTTCACCTTCTGTTAGTAAGGCCCGCTAACGCAATCGTTTGTGAACTAAATATCAGTTTGAATTTGACAAAATTATTCTCTCAAGTAGATTCGGAATAATTTTGATGAGAAGATTTTTCTGACCCTTTAAATGGAGGAAAGGGGGCACCTCGGGGGCACCATGAATTTATGAATGCCATTTAACATTTTTTTTATACCAATGATGATTATCATCCCAAAACTTACAGGCACAGCGAACATTCTTCTTACTATAATCTATATACAGGGTGATCCACGGTGGATGGCCTATTAGAAGTATCTGGAGAACGAAAAGACAGAACATCCTGGAAATTGGGTTTCTTCGATAAATGAACATTCTCTATCCGTCTAGAATATTTTCATCGATATATTGTTGCCACTTATATCAGAAACAACTAGCAACTTTGTTATTTCAAATAGAACACGATGAATTTTATTGCATATTTAGATTCTTTCTGAAGAGCTGATTTCATCAATGTATCACACTTGGGGTCTAGCAGGAATGATTACAGAAATATAGGGTGTTCAAAATCGAGATTTTTCAATTTTAGGATTTTTTTGTGTCGGAACTATTCATTATCGATCAAAACGGCTTTCATGTCCCTATCTCAACTTTTGATTGACTATCTACTGGAATTTGATTGGAAAAAATACAGGGTGCTCCAAGATCCAGAATTATGATCACCCTCTGTATCTGTTTCAATTAGATGTCAGTAGATAGTGAATCGAAAGTTAAGATAGGGACATGTTAGCCGTTTTGATCAATAATGAATAGTTTCGACACAAAAAAATCCTGAAATTGAAAAATCTCGATTTTGAACACCCTATATCTATGTAATCATTCCTGCTAGGCCCCAAGTGTGATACATTGATGAAATCAGATTCTCAGGGAGAATCTAAAAATTCAATAAAATACAGGGTGCTCTATTCAAAATAACGAAGTTACTAGTTGTTTCTGATTGAAGTGGCAACACTGTATCGATGAAAATATTTTAGACGGATAGAGAATGTTCAATTATCAAAGCATCCCAATTTTCAGAATGTTCTGTCTTTTCGTTCTCCAGATACTTCTAATAGGCCATCCACCGTGGATCAGCCTGTATATATACTATATAATAATAGAAAATAATAAGTTTTACATTATTTTTCGTTCTGGTCAGTCAGTCAGTCAAATTTTCAAATGGGTGGTCAAGAATGTTTTGATGACAAGAAATCCACAAAATTATTTGTGATAATTCCATATCATTTTCTGATATTATTTTCACTTGTAATACCACTAGAGGTCAAATTATTTCCGGAAATTTTTTCGAGCTCATGGATATTTTGAAAATTATCCCGAGTCGAAGACGAGGGCACATAATCACTATTTTAGGACGTCAAAATATTATTCTGTCATTAAAACGTCATAAAAAAAATTCCGATTTCATATGCTGGTGGGTACCCACGAGAAAAAAATGTCCACTAAAATACATACGTTGCTATAATTTAACTGTATAAAAATCACTGGTGTGGAATTTTCATGATAATAATAACTAATTGACAAACTTCCCCAAATCTCCGAAACTTCCTCGAACTCCCCATACTTGCTCGAACTTCCTAAACTTCTTCGAACTAAACTTCCCAAGTTTATTACCCCAGCTGAATCGAGAGTAATATGCACTTTTGAATAGAGGCAATTTGTTAATCGACATCTGGATCGACATATTATTGAATAGCTCAACTCTGATATTTGTAGATTCATTTAGGTTCCATAAACTTAGCAGAACCAATTCGGAATTTTGAATTTCCAGCTATTTCAAATTTGCTGCTCATTTATCGCTAATTAATTGCAATAACAGAAAAATCGTTGAAAAAATATGGTTCTGCTAGGCTACACGAAAAAAAAGATTTGTTGCACCAAAAAAATTATTTTGGTCATTTTTTTTTGTTAAATCAAACACAATTTTGCGAAATCAACAAAGCATATGTTTATTCCAAATAAGCGACAAGGAGACAAAATATTTTGATTGAAATATTTGTTTACTTGAACAAAATTTCATTTCATCAACATTTATAGTTGACATAAAACAAATTTTGTTGATCCTACTATCATCTCATTGTTCAATCAATCCAATCACATGCATCTTGTTTCTTTGACAAAATTAGAGTGATTCTGACACAAGATTAAACGACCAAATTGAATTAATTTTGACATTGTATTTTGTTGATTCAACATAATTATCATTATCAATAAATATGTTGTTATTTGAAACAGATTATTTTGTTGAACATAATCAACAGATACATTATACCAAACAAATATGTTGTTGAATGATTATATACTTGCATTTTCGCCACTAGATGGCGTTTCTTTCCACCTTCCTACGCTCGCCTCGATGAGAAAATGATTCTCTAATTTCTTCTAGTTTTAAAATTCAGTTATTGGAAAATTTCATCAATATTATTCAAGAAAATATTTTGTCAAATCTGAATACAATTTTGTTGATCAAATGAAATTTGTCATCGAATGGAAAAACCATGTTGTCATACACAGAATATGGGTATATTGTTATTTTAACATATTCACTTTTTGAGAAACTGAAAATTTTGTCACTTGAATGAAAGTACATAATCATTTCAATCAACAGAATGTGTTCATATTAGAGCAGATATTGTATTATGCAGGAACAAAATAGTGAAAATAGTCTTTGTTAATTAAACCAATTCTTGCTTTTGATTTGAATCAGTAATGAGTTACATCAAATGAATTTTATGTTGAAATCTGAGAAAATAAATTTGTTGCGGTGACAAAATATTTTGTCGTGGATATATGACACTCAGATTTTGTTGATTCTACAAATTTTTTGTTTCGAACAATTTTTTTTTCTTTGTGAAGCTAGCACAACCACCCTTCATGATTTTGTCGAATAACAACTCGATTAATAATATTAACATAATTATTATAGTCGCTAATTTGGTAATTACCAATTACCAAAATATATGAATGTTTTCGTTCATCGTTTTGTCCGAAAAATAATTTAATATTATCGACTCTAACGAGCTCGACTATCAGAGATTGCTGAGTTACCAACAGCTGTGCCACGAGTTGGAAAATCTCATCCTAGGTCTCATCGCCAAGTCTGTTTTTGTCTGGGTAATAACTTCAATAAGCTATGATCAAATATGCACTTTGGAGATGCTATAAATATTAATATGTAAACGTTTTGTTATAAATTTGAATGATAATGTAAATGTATTCAATGTAAATCCCAATTTCTATTTATTTAGTGTGAATGACATCAGGTCAGAAGTAATAAATTCTGACTGAAAATTTCAAATAACAAAATATCCGAAAATATCTTCATGATTAGTCTACGTCTACACCGAGGTCTACACTCCAGTTGTTTTGTATTGATGAATGAGCTGAGGGAAATCTTACAATATCATAGGTGCAATTTCCTTTTCAATAGTTTCAAGAAAATCACAAATTCAAATTACCCTCGAACCTCTTTTATTTGATTCTTTCCACAAAAGAGTTGACAGTAGGACTAGTAGGAGGTCAAAATAGGACGCCGAGGAATACCTAATACGTTGAATACGAATTAAAATTCAGTTATCTTTCTCTACGTTTTTCTATGATAAGAAGGTTATCTATATCATTCAATGAATAACTCCTTCGTTGAAATAGGACGAAATTGATACATGTTGCACTATGTAATTTTTTTAAATCGCTTGGCTTGAAAATTTTTATCTTCTGTGGAATTTTAGAGACATGCGTTGGTCTCATAACTGCTAAAAACCGCTAAATTTCTCAACTTTTTTAGTTTTATGCAAAAAAAACACATGCGATGGCTCTGACGAAAAATGTGCTTATTACCTTTTTTCAAGTATACGAAATTCCCGACAATTTGAGCTTTGATTGAGTTCTCTAGGTCTGATGGTTCTCAAGATACAGGGTTCGCAAAATTTGCGGTTTTTCCTAAATGTCGAATAGTGGAACATGGTCAATTTTCGAGTCAATTTTCGACCAAAATATCGGGTATAATGAGGGATTCATGCGGAAATGAATGGGAAATAAAGTTGTAGCAAATTTATTTCTCGGAAATTAATAATTTTTATCTACACCATTTCCATTTGTATTTCAGAAAGCGTCAATCGTATTTCATACCAGTCACGTGTAATTCAGAAAATATCAATTGTATTTAAGAGTAGTCAATTGAATTTCAGAATGCGTCAATTATATTTGAGAATAGTCAATTGTATTTCAATAGATGTCAATTTAATTTCAAAATAGTTAATTCAATTTCAGAAAGCGTCAGTTGTATTTCAGAGTAGTCAATTGAATTTCAGAAAGTGTCCTTCGTTGTTCAGAAAATATTATTTGAAATTCAATGGACGCTTTCTGAAATTCAATTGACGCTTTCTGAAATATAATTGACGCTTTCTGAAATTCAATTGACTAATCTGAAATGCAGTTGACGCTTTCTGAAATTCAATTGACTATTCTGAAATACAAATGATGCTTTCTGAAATACAAGTGCAGTTCTGAAATACAAATATAAAACATGATTTCATTACGAAATAGATAAAATTGATACTTTGTCATCTACTGATTGATCCCTGATGCTATTTTAGGATTTGATCGATTTCGCATTTCTAGATTCTTCAGTTTTTTTTGTCACATCATGTTATTTTATTATTACTGTTTGTGATCAACTTCCTCATGCCACAATTTATCAGTGTGAAACTAGCCACGAGTTCCCGGCAATTATTCGACCACCAATGGTCGTTTATTACTGATTTATACTCGTGGCGTAATAAAACCTCAAAAATATGTCCATGGATGAAACTATTTTTCATCAATGTATTCCTCTAAGGGTCCTTAATAATCTGATTATCTCACACAATTTTGTCGGGCTAGAATGAACCCCACAGGACTCCCCTTTTTTGTGAATTTTCGAAAAATATCATCTCTTTGAAAATACACGTGGATGGGAGTTTCTTTCCATGAATGTGTTCTTCTGATGGTATATCTCACAATATTTTGTCCGGCAAGAATTAACCCCAAGTCCCCCTTTTTTAAATTTGAAAAAAAATCATAACTTCTTCAAAATACACGTAGATGAGAGTTTTTTCCCATAAATATGTTCCTCTGATGGTACTTGATGATGTGTATATCTCACAATGTTTTGTCGGGCAAGAATTAACCCCACAGGCCCCCTTTTTTGAAATTTCGAGAAAAAATCATAACTTTTTCAAAATACATGTGGATGGGAGTGTTTTTTCCATAAATATGTTCCTCTGATGGTACTTGATGATGTCAATGTCGGCGTCAATTAGTGAAATCCGTCATTCCCTGAAATGCCTAGTCATTTCACGTATTGTCGGCAAACAGCGTAACTTCCATTTTCAGCCGTTACTCTGTTTGCCGTAGTGTTGAGGAAGGAAAATATCCTTTTTGCATATGCATAAGAAGGGAGACTATTTTTCCGCCTAAATGAACCTTCTTCCTAGAAATATATTTTTCAGAAAATTACTTGAGAGAACAGAAGAGACTACTGCTTCTAAACAATCTAAGCTGACTCGGCCTAAATGAACCTTCCTTCCGTCATTACAGGGAATGCCTGAAACTATTAGGCAAACGGTGTACGAAATTTAGAGTTACGCTGTTTGTCGGCAATACGTGAAATGACTAGGCATTCCAGAGAATGACGGATTTCACTGTTTGACGCCGACATATACAGGGTGTCCCTAGACCAGTGGGACAGTTAAATATCTTCTGAACCAATAGGAATTTACAAAATATTATAATTACACATTATATCGCATTATGAGTGCTGACTTCAGGAATGACTATATTTTATACGAGGGGCGCAAGAAAGGCTCACAAAATCGTACATAAATTTTTTTCAAATGGAACACCGTGTATTTCATTGCATTTTCATATTCTCCTTGAAGAGCTGAATTCAACGACCTAGCACACTTGGGGTCTAGCGGGAATGATTTCCGAGATATAGGGTGTGGAAAATCGAGATTTTTCATTTTCAAAAATTCCCAAAAATGAAAAATCTCGATTTTCCACACCCTATATCTCGGAAATTTTGAAAAGGAAATGGAAATAATTCCAAATTTCTGTTTGACGGAGTTACTCTATGTATATCCACGATTTGTTCAAAATCGTACGACCAAAATAATCAGGTTATTTTTTTTATTGGTTTTTTTGTCAATTTCTGCTTCTCCCAATACCAAATTCTTCTTCTGGACTGTCCATTGCGAAATACCAATGCACACTAATTAAAATAAAACTTGATCAGAAAAGCAAGTCCCTTTTTTGTGGAATACAGTGATAATGTGCGGGGATTCGATATTTCCATTCCTTTCCGTTCTGTCCCATTCCATTCCTATCCAGTCCGTTCCGCGAAAGTGTGCGGCCTCCTTTAGTAATTTCTTGGCTAGCCACAAGTATAAATTAGTAATAACGACCATTGGTGGTATGGCGCCCCTCGAATAATTGGCGAAGTCGGGGCTAGAACTCGTGGCTGGTTTCACACTGGTTTAATGATCCACGATGATTTTCATTGGCAGCATCCCGTTTTTTTTTTTTGTTATGTTCTGGTTTCCACGAAAAGGGATATCCTGTAATGTTCAGAGAATATCGTGAAAACCAAAGGAAATAAGGTAGGAATTGGTGTTCTTCTTGAATTTCTGGAGGTTATATGCCTCGGGGAATACCTCCCTTGGCAATGTGTTCCAGAGCCTCGCTGTTCGTTGGATGGACGAGTCTTTGGAAAGAGATGTTCTGCAGGTCTCCAAAGTGACCACTAGGGGTGCGAAGTCTCAACTCGACGGGTTAATCTCGCGGGGACTGCCAAGGGAGGTACAATTGTTGATATTTCAGAAGAGCATCGTCCATGAAAATATCTATAAAATAGAGCCAGATCGCCAACTTTTCTACGAACAGGTCTTTAATCTCGAGTTTGAGGACTAAAAAATGTGCTCACTATAGGCTTGTCGATTTCTTTTTAGGCTGGTATTGCCAGTGATGGGTTGAAAGACGAGATTTCTAAAGAACATTTTCAATGTTATCATTAGAAGAGTGAAAGATGGCCGATTTTCTCACGATGTTCCGGTGTTCCAGAGAAGTGAGTGAGTTTGTGTGCGAGGCATCACCCACGAGACGATTTGGCCTTTTTTGGACAGAATCCAACAGTTTCAGGGTATGTTTGGGTGCTGCACTCCAAATATGGGAACAGTATTCCAGGACAGGTCGGACTGCTAGCCCAGTGCCATTTTCTCACCGCATTTTGAATGAATATGGCTGGGCGTTATTTCATAGGCTGGTTTCACACTGATCCAGAATTGTTTTTCTGATTATTTCATTCACACCCGGCTGGACCTATGAAATGTCATGATTGAAGTCACATGATATGCGATATCAGCGGCTATTTAGGTAAACAAACAATATGAGCGGCTATTCTGTTCGCCAGCATAAGAGTGCTATGATTGTCAAACTTTGACATACCAATCAGTCACTCAAAAACTAAAATGTCTCGTTTTGGGTCAACTTCCACTACGGAAATTCGTAATTATGTAAGCGAATCGATATCAGAAAATAACAAGGAGAGTAAAGAGTCTGTCTGGAACAATTCATGTTTTTTTGCCAGCAGAAAAACTATGAATTTTGTGCGACTACCCCATCTCTCGTGATTGCCCAAATCCTAAAGGATTGGGTGAGGAGAATGGTGAGGAATATTAGGAATACACAGTTGAAATTGATATGGAAAACTATATACAGGAAGGTTACTTCAATGAACATAAACGTAAGACAAATCCATTTGAATATATCGAATTCAAAGGTGCCAGGGTTGCGCATAATGCAAAAAGGCGGAGCCTACAATATTTTCCTCAAACAAGAAAGGAAAGTACAGAAGTTCTAATCAAAGAATATTACCGCTATCAATAGCGTTAATATTCTTTCTTTGCTCTAACTTTAAATGAATTGATTACAATTGTACGTAGATTTTTTTTTACCCCAAATAGTATCTGCAGAATTGTAACTTGAATAAAATGTTGAAACTCATTTAAACCAGTATTTTTGCACCGTTCATGAAATAATCTTCCTGAATATCACTCGACCATGACAAATGGAGACTATTATTTTCGTTAATTCATCTCGAGTACCTTGTATTTTGAGACAATTATGACGAAAATAATAGTCGGCTATTGCGACTATTTTCTCGATGAAATGATTGTTGAAAATACAATGAAATATCCAAAATTGAAAAATCCTTTCTATGATTCCAGCTACGACATGGTACACTTTGGTCACGCGAACTCCCTGCGACAGGCGAAGGCCCTCGGACAACACCTCATCGTCGGCGTCCATACCGACGAAGAGATAACCAAGCACAAGGGGCCGCCGGTCTTCAACGAACAAGAGCGCTACAAGATGGTCAGAGGTAAACAGACAATGTATTTGGAAAGGAATATTCTCAGATATATTTATGAACACAAAAATATGGATATACAGGGTGTTTCTTAAGTACGTGTAGAAAATTCAGGAGCATGTTGCTGACGTCAAAATAAGAAAACAAGTTCGTATAAATATATGTCCGAAAGTTATTCGTTTCTGAGATACAGAGTGTCAATAAATTTCAAAATAATTGTGATATTCGAATGAAGTTTGGAATCTATATCTTCACTAACACTTATATAACATCTCTGTGTTTTACCATAGGAAGTATTCTGGTTGGTTCGTGAAATATGTCAAACAACTCTCTACCAAAACTCGCAATGTAAGAGTTATAGACACTAGAGGTAGCGACGTGTGGGATGTTTAGTGCAAAGGGGTGTGATATACCAAGTCATAGTTTGCGAAATAAGGATCATCTTTTGGGTATCTCCAAGTGGAGTGAATGGATGAAATAGTAGAGAAACTCGCAGTCATCTGCACAATATTCAAAAAGATTAAAAATTGATTATTTCGTGTTGAAAATGATAACTGGAATGTAGGGTGTCAATTCCATCTTGAGAAGATTGATTGGAGTTGTTTTTGCGCAATATTTACACCATGCCGGTATGAATCATGGTAGGATTGTTGATTCTCGACCAAAAATCCATTCCACTGTGCTTCCAAACCATAGAAATCATATTGATATACAGAGTGATTCACATAAGAACCGACATAGAGCAGGGGCATGTAGGGAGTCCCAAAATATGGCAATTTAACGCAACTTACCTCTATACCAAGTTGCTTCCCTAAGGAGATATAGGCTTTGAAAGTGAAGTTATAAATTTTGAAAAAAATCAATATCTTCGTTATTCTTGAACTTAAAGCAACCAAATTTGTTACACTTTGTGTAATTGAAATTTGTAAAGGGGGTATACCGGATGGCGCACCATCAATATTTAACATAATTTTGTTAACCCTTGATGGATTTCAAAAATCTTTGCTTTGTTTTTTTTTGGCAATTCAATTCTGAAACTCTTCTTACTCTAGTAATTTTTTGAAAAACCTCATCATTTTCATCAAAAACTCGAATAACTGAAAACGCGCGCTCTAGGTGTGTTATTTAAAATCATCGAAAATTCAAAAGTTGGCTATGAAAATAAACGTCAAACTTGACAATGAGGCAAGTGAGTTGTTCAATTAAGTAATTGTTGTTCGAGTGTTTTTAAAATGAACGGGAAGATTTCTTTTAACGAACAAGTTGACATGCTGTTAGTGCTATGCCTATAACTCCTTAGGGAAGTAACTTGGTATAGAGATAAGTTGCGTTGAATTGCCATATTTTGGGATCTCCTACATGCCCCTGCCCTATGTCGGTTGTTATGTGAATCACCCTGTATATCATGATTTCTATGACTGTATACTTCACACTCAGTAGACGTGGACAACTACGTTGACCCATCATATTGGTAGTTGTGGACTTCTCTAGGTTCTTATCAATGACGTAAAGAATGGTGCTGAGGGGATCAGTAAAGTTTGCATTTATAATCATTGTGAGCCTTCAGGAAGGTACCCAGCATGGGATATTTATTAATGAACTTTGATTACAGAAAATGAAGAATCACTAGAAATGTGAAAATTTGGTTCTAGAGGGTGTCACCTGAAATTCAACCAGATGTGGCAGTCACTGTCACTTCGTCACGCTTCCTGTAAACAGTGCACTTGATTCATTAGTTTACCACTATAGTCATAAACTGGCATGTGAACACGCCTAGAGGAGAGTTGATTCCTTGTTGCAGATTGAAATAAAGAAGCTTGTAGAGCAGCGTTCTTAAATACAAGATAGTAACAATATAAATAACTACGATGTTTTTAGAGTTTGATGGAATAATAAAGGGCATAATTATTAATATTATAGGTATCAAATGGGTCGACGAGGTTGTTGAAGGTGCGCCTTATGTAACGACACTGGAAACTTTGGATAAATACGACTGCGACTTCTGTGTGCATGGAGATGACATAACGATGACAGCGGACGGAGTGGATTCTTATCATCTTGTTAAAAAGGCTGGAAGATACAGGTAAAAATGATAACTTGTCTAATTAATACTCAATAATAGTATTTTGATTTTCTCTCCTCGTTTCTATAAAATAAAAGTATTCGTATTATTTCAATATATTTGTAGAGGAACAAATCAGATGAATGTACCACCTCCTCGATTAACCTATAGTGATGATGAATAACTCATTCTAATAAAAATATAAAAAATAAATGTATTTAATGGATACATCACAACAAGTTCTCCGATTTATAGATAATATACAGAATGATTCAATTGATCTATATATAGAAAATAATTGTTTTATGGTCAAATAGACAATGAATGTGTTTTCCGGCAAAAAAAATCATCATACTGTATAAATGTGATATATTTTGGACAATGATTTTTCGAAGAAAAGTAGTTTTTCCCATCATTTTACTATCTCTTCGCTTATTTTGAGAGTAAAAAAACAGCGAAGAGGAGTGGAGGGGAAGTGAATGTAAACTTTTTTTTCTCGAAAATCTGGTTATGGGTAGAGATGTTTCCTCGATTTTTTTTTTCAGAACCCTGAAACACATTTCCATACTTGGAAAACTCAATATTTTTTGCGATTTCGCATTTTTTTCCAAAGGCTACATGTCTGAATCGTGTAGTTTGCGAATTTTTGATAATTTTGTCTGTTCAGAACTTGTATGACCCTATATAATAGTTTGGTACTTGTATTACGTTATATTGTATAAGAGATGTTCATTCGTTGTTAACATGACGACGACGTGTTTTTGAAACATAAGATTTATCAATAAAATCAATAAATGAAGGATTGCAATAATTCCCATATCGATCTTTATTTAATAATTATCATGTCCATACAAATAAATCTATGAAACATAAAAAAAATATTAGTCCTTTGATGCTTATCTATTCAAATCAAATCTTCAAAACTGCCAAGTTCTTCACAAGGATATAGAGTAACACTCAAGACTACCTGGAGTGAATTGCTTGGCTTTCACAGCTAGCAAAAAAACAGTTCAAGCGAACATTTTCCTTCACAAATCGCCTATAATTTGTCAACTGAAGAAGATATCATATTTTTACTCACGAAATTTGTGAGAAAAGTTGTCTCTTTTCAATTATACGAAAATACCGTTATGTTCCCGGCAAAATTTTTGCATAAATGGACCTTACCCAATGCCATTTGAGAACGTCTTCCTTTTCAATGTTTTATCATCGTTTTAATAATTACTACTATCAAATATGTGGGGGTTTTTCAATAAATGTTCAAAATGAATTTATTTGGAGATTGTGTCCTCTCTCGATGAAGAAAATGTCGAGACTAATGCAGATACAGATTGCGGAAGGTATTACCCTATACATATATAGTATAAGACATTCTCATTTGTTGTTAACATGAAGACGTGTTGTTGGAACATGAGGTTTATCAATAAAATCAATAAATGAAGGATTGCAATTCTCATATCAAGTAGAGTGACTATAAAACAGAGTGACGACAATAGTGATGCACTTTTTGATTGGTCAGACCTCTTATATGGAGGTGAATTCACCTGTCTTGTTTTGTCCATTCAGTTCTACACATTCTCGCAATCAGACATGAAACTATACGTCGGTACCTTGGATATCAACTATTAGAATCCGTCTTTTGAGACTCGTAAGTCTTATTAGATTATTTGAATGATGACATTAAAATATCAAATATCTGAACCTACCATCAGATGGGCACTTCGAAGGCGCAATTTCATTACTGCATGAGAGATACCCTTCCGATTTTCAGCTATTCAGAGACTTGACCACGAATGACATTCCGGAAACGGCAGTCATGTTGAGGCACTCTATTTAATCTACTCATTCTAATATCAAGCATCGAACACATTGGTCCTTCTAACCGGATCTATTAAAATCGATTCTTCGCAGAGAGGTGCAGAGGACGGCGGGCGTTTCCACCACGGATCTAGTAGGCCGGATGCTGCTGTTGACGCGGAACCACTTCAGGCAAGGTCAGTATGAGTACGAGGTGGCCAAAGAGCACTCATCCACGATGGGTCAAGATTCCTCCGCCAGGTCTCCGTGGACGGGGTGTTCGCAGTTCCTGCCCACTACGAGGAAGATCGTCCAGTTCTCGGATGGGAAGGCGCCCGAGCCGGGCGAGAGGATCGTGTATGTGGCGGGGGCGTTCGATTTGTTCCATGTGGGTCATTTGGATTTTCTGGAGAAGGCGAGAGAGAAGGTGAGTCGGGATGTGGGTGGGGCTTAGACTAAATATCAAATATCAACCGCAATTCATTCATAAATCATCATAAAGTATACGCCAACAATCCCAAACGCCAAACACGTATAAATGAATGAAAATTTGAGTGGTGGGGATAACTCTGTAGAATCATTGCTATGCTTTATAGATATTTTTTATATAATTAATAAATCGGGATTTCTATGAATGTGTGTATTTCCATTAATGCTTTCACTATTACAACATGTTGTTCAATGTACCATGATAATAACGTTATTTTGTAACGTCTTTGTTAGGCTATTTGATAATTTCAATATTTATTACTTGATTTTCATCACCAAAAGACCTCAAACAAGACCGCCACTAGACCAAATTTCTACGTACCTGTGAAATATCAGGTTAGGAACTTTGTAACTTACTTTTCTCTACATATTTGACACTGCCGAACCATATATTCACAAAATTGTCTGCTTTAGATTTATAAAATCAAATTTATTTATTTAATTTATTCATTAAATTGAGTAAAATATACAAATTTTCATTAAATATAGTTGAACATAATATATTTCAATTTTAATCTCATTCACAGAGGTTCCTAACCTGACCTGACCTGAGTGTGAAAGAGATGAACTATTACATGTATAGAAATTATTTTTTTTCTATGGAAATACTCAAATTAAATATAAATAATCAAGATACATAAAAAACAAGAATAAAATACTGAAAAAGAGTTGATTAAAAAAGATCATCGTTTTTTGCATGTTTTATAAACCAGCCTTTAACCTTTTTTTGAAAGTTATAATATTTAGACGTTAATTTCGATATGATTTTATTACACATTTTAGATCCAATAAAACTAGAATGTTCCAAAATCTTCAATTTATGTTTTCAAGTCGTACATTGTATATTTTGTTTCTTGTATCATAACTATGATTGCTTTAATTCGTTATTGCTGGTACTTTTTAAAGAACATCACTGACGATTTTTAGAATAATTGTCTAACATTAAATATGTTATTTTCATCATGTTGTTTACAACAAAAATGACGGCAACACATTCACTTCATCATGCCTGTGAACTGTGCACAAACAGCCTGAACCTGTGTGATCCAATATCTAAGGAATTTTAGAATGTATTGAAGAGACGAGGCGGTTAACACGGAAATGAAATCGACTGAGTCGCTCTCTGGTGCCTGTCTATATCTATATAATAGACGGCAAATTCAAAAGTCATGTATCAATAATATTATTAGTATTCAACAAAATTAAATGGAATGAGACTATCCTTAACGAACCAACCAATTTATAATTGCAATATTTTTTGAGGAAGGAAAACTAGAATGAAGTAAAAACACATTGATTAATAGTAAAAGTTGAGTTCCTCAACAAAATTGAATAAAATATGAGACTATTCATCCTAAACGCACTAACCTATTAGACTTTCAATATTTTTTGAGGAAGGAAAACCAGAATGAAGAAAAAAAAAAGTTGTTGAAAAAATGTTTCAAGTTCACAGCAAATCAAACCAGGGGCCTTCTGACTGACAGTTAAAAGCACTCACTACTGGACCATTGGGCTACATAAATTTCAATGCATACAAGAGAATAACAACAAAGAACAGCAAAATATAGACATAGACAGGCACCAGAGATCGCTTCAGACAGATTGAAGAGTGAGCCTATCATAATTCATAATAGCGCCAACTCTTTTTTCACATGACGAGCAAGCACCATGAAAGTACTTTTTAGGGATTTTGGTTACATGTCAATAAAGTGTTGCGGCAGCACGGATTACCCCAGATAATTCCGGCTATTTGATCGTCGGGCTACACACCGACCCGGTCAACAGGTACAAGGGCTCCAAATAGCGCATCATGAGCCTGCACGATCGCGTGCTGACTTGCAAGTACGTGTCGGAGTTGGTGATTGGCGCCGCCTACTCGGTTACCGAGGACTTCTTAGAACACTTACTTTTACAGTGTGTTTCATTTGAAAAAACTCCCACACTGATATCACTATTCATAATAATTTAACACACCCTTATCAACAGAAATTTCAGAAGTGAATTTCAATAAAGAAGTCAATATCATTAAACAAATTGCAATTCCAAAAAATTCCGTAATAAAGCAATTCAAGACGTTTATCCCACCATGAAAATTATAGAATTTTAACTTATTTCGGATCATCAACTGAAAAATTAGCTTAATTTCTACATAAGCAGGACTAAAAGTTGCCTATAGAACAAATAACTCGTTGGAAAGTTTTATTAAAAATAATAAAAACAAAACTTCTGAATTCGAAAAATCAGGTGCATACAAACTCGATTGTGGATCTTGTCCTAAGGTATATATTGGTCAGACAGGTCTAACGTTTAATCAGCGCATTCATGAACATAAGATGAATTTTTTGATAAAGAAAACGAATTCAACATATTATTATGCAAACCATATGAAAACCATAGCTTTGATAATTTCGAAATTTTACATGTAGAGAATAAAGGAGAGAAACTCAATCTAGAATCAGTAGAAATCAATAGTAGGTAATTTCTGTAAGCAACCCTCTAAGTTAATCCAATATATCGTATTTTAATGTAGATATTGTGCCCGCTTTTCGAAAATAAAGGTTTATCATACCTTTCCACAGGTATCCTAATCCTTGGTTGGGAAAGTAGGATATTAAAGTTGGGCGAGTTAATGTAAGTTTAGTGTATTATACCAGTTATCCACCCGAAGAAGCTACTGTGTTAGCGAAACGTTTGTAATTAAGGATTTTGTGGAAATCTTATCGTTTGTGAAGTTTTTACAATAAAATTCTCAGGATAATGTCAAGTTTACTTCGAAAAAAAAAACTCATTGATAATTCTGTCTTTATAGGGTGACTATTTGATAGTCGGGCTGCACACCGACCCGGTCGTCAACAGGTACAAGGGCTCCAACTATCCCATCATGAACCTGCACGAGCGCGTGCTGAGCGTGCTGGCATGCAAGTACGTGTCGGAGGTGGTGATCGGCGCCCCCTACTCGGTCACCGAGGACCTCATGGAGCACTTCAAGGTCGACGTGGTCGTGCACGGCGACACGCCTGTCATGGCCGACGAGGATGGAGAGGATCCGTTCAGGTGAGACATAATCCTCAGACCGAATGAAGATAGATGACACTGCGATTCATTCGTAAATTATTATTGAGAAGTATACGCCAATATTCCTGGACACGGATAATAATAAAGTTTATTCAAAATGTTGACATACTATAATGAATTTAAAGTATACGTATTGGTATTGAATAAAAAAAGAAAACCTTAGGAAGTATAACTTGTAAGGTATATAAAATAAATATTATGGTTATTAAATCAATTGATTAATACGAGACAAAAGTAATTTATAAATAAAAATGTATTGTTTGTCATTCAATCATTGGGTATATGTACAGTTCAGTACTGTTTAAAATTTTGTATAAATAGATAAATGAATGAAATTGCGAATGGTGGGGATAACTGCAGAATCATTGCCAGAGCATTGATACTCTTTATAGATGATATTTTGTTTCTACAAAGTGCGGAGATGAACCCACGAAATATTTCTGTCTCGCAATGTTTTCGTATCTTGCTTTGTTTTCGAGGAAAACGTACAATACCATACCTCGGCATATCTGAACTCCATAAGGAAAAATGAAAATGCTTAGATAACAAGAAAGACCAAAAATTCAATACCCTCTCTGAAATATTTACGATCTTCAAATTTTGTGGGAAATATTTTGACACTTTGACATCCTTCATCTCGGAAACGAAGCATTTTCGGACCCATGTCATGTGAACTTTTTTCATATTTTGTTGAGAGGAATCTCCCCTAGGCCACAACTCTGAAACACCCGGTATATTCATGAAGAAAATTCACTCCTCTACAATTTTTTTGAAGGAATTTCTCTTAAACAAATCGTTTAGACAATATGAAGAAATGTTTGTTGAAAAATGTCAGATAATAATCTATTGTTGAAAATTTCCACTTTTCGGAGCGTGCAGCTCAAAAACGGTTAGAGATTCAGAAAAAAGTTGTGAAGGATTTTATCAGCTCTCATTTGATATTGGGATTTTTTTTCTATGGCTGGCCATCGGGCCATTATTCACGCCGCAAGCCAAAAACGCCTACTTGACGCACTTGATACATAAAATTCAAGAAGTCAAGTTGTTGCAAAATAAATGAGGATTTCAAAAATTATTTTTATTTTCGGAAAAAGCAAAGGCATACCATATTTTTTAACAAAAATCTCCAGTGTAAAAAATATTTATTAAATCTGCATCAAAAAATGACTATTGGTGCCTAATAGTAGGTGCACGTTAAATTTCATGAAGATATCTTAGAACAGAGTTGACGTTAAGATAAGAAAACGAGTTTTTTCTTGAACTTTCAACAACCTATTGAAGTTGAGAGGTTTTCCCCTTCTTGTTCACTATAATATGACTGTATCTTAATGATATGTAAGTTTTGTTCACTATTTGTAATTTCAATTATACAACAGTCGATAATACTTCATGAATGATCTTATACCAGGAATTACTGTCTGATCATTCATGTCATTCCTACTAGAAAATTAATTATACTTTATATATTATTTGTATGAAATGTATAAATGAAGAAGAGAATGTAATGCAATAACTGAAATAAATAAATAAAAATATGTTCATATGTACAGGATTAAAAATCAAGAAGACCCACCCCTACATTCACGATATTTTTTTATCGAGAAAAAACAAACGATATGCGGAAGTTGCATGCCGCAATGAAGCCTAAAAGCGTGACAAACCACAAATTGCTTTTTTGAATGGAACACCTTATTTTTCATATTTTTTTCGGAATCTGTGATTTTTCGTGATCACAAAAGTGCATACAAGGTGTTTTTGAAATAAGTACATATAATCAGCACATAGATATGATACAGTCTAACGAATATTCCCATGATATCAGATTTTTCCTAATTCTAATAATTGACAAGAAATTTCATCCCGAAAATTGAACAAAAAACGAGAATAAAATTAAGTTAGACACTTTAAAACAATTCAAATGATTGAAATCAGCGTGATAGTGCCTTACGAACGAAAATTTGATCAGAGATGACGTCAAAATTGCTACAATGTGAAACTTTGGGTGGAAAAAGGAGTCTAACGTCAAGTTTTATTTTGATCCCTATATTTTTTTTATTGGTACGACTCGATAGTATACGTCGAGCTTACTCAAAGCTTGAAATATTTGCACTTATTTCAATGCCACCCTGTATACACAGTATGATATCTTCTATTTACACTTCATCATCTTTACTTTTTCAACCCCAGAAAAACATTTTTTTGTGTTGGCTTTTACAGATATCGTGTCAGCCATGAATGTGGATAAGATTGACAATTATTGTATATTGCATCATTATCGAATACATTCGCAAACTGCTTGAGTGATCACCAATCAATCCGAAAAAAAGTTTTTTTTTCCTGGATATATTTCTATACATTTTTTATTCATTTTTCAGTATTGAATAACTAATCCATCAATGTTTGACAGAAAATGATGAGAAATAAATGGAACTGATGCCACTTTTCCTTTGGTGTTTCGAAAAAACATTGATGATGGTTAAAAATAGGTCGAAACACACATAAACCACCTTGTATAATACATGATTGAATTCAAAATGAAAAAACCTTTCAGAATCTGTGAAAAAATCATCAGGACCGTATTTAAAAAACAAAAGTTGATTATGGTTCTACGAATACGAAACGTCGCAGAGAAAAATTGGTATCACCACGTTAAACGCCATCAAAAGTTGCTATGGAAAATTATTTCCAGTTTTTCAGCATCTCTAATAATAACGGAGAAAAAAAATAAAATAGATATTCCCAAAATTCACTTTTTTCGATATAACTAAAATACTAAAAATAATTTTAAAAATTTTCGAAGGCTATTGATATGAGCCTCCGAATGCGCAATTTTTTCCCCATTTAACCGACTTCGTATCCTACCGTTTTCGAAATCCCCATGCTGTTCAACCTTATCTTGGACAGACTGTATATACACTGTAGGTGGCTTTTGTTGTGATAGTTTCGAAAAATAAGCCAATAATAAATAAACAATCACTAAATTCGCAATTTTTTAAAATCAAATCACAAAATTAGAGTGACAGACTTCGGGAATTGGAAGGATTCTGCCTCCTGGTGTGTGATGAGAACTCGACCTACCTGCCGATTGATCTACGAATGCCCCGTTAGCTCAATTGGCAGAGCGTCGGATATGTAACCCAGAGGTTGTGTGTTCAGAGTCTACTCTCACACGGGGCGGTGGAGCTTCTTCATTTTCCATTGTCTCTCGTAATTAGTGCTCTCTATCTTCATCATCAAAAATAGGAGATATCATACTGTTTATATATATATATATGCGGCATTCAACCTCCTGATACCATTTGTTTTATCTCGGTAAAAAATAATATAGGGTTGAGCCTTCTCGATGGATAACCATTTACATTTCTTCTTGAAATGAGCTGAGGAACCATATCCTATATTTGCCACCCTGTATATTTGAACCATATCTCCCATTCAGGTGTCCGAAGGAGCTTAAAAAATTCCTCACGGTGTCGTCGGGCAACGACATGACCACTGAAAAAATAGTCGAGAGGATCATCAGGAACAGGTTGGAGTTCGAGGCGAGGAACATCAAGAAGGAGAAGAAGGAGATCGAACTGTTGCGCGCGCTGGAGAACAACAAAAAGCAAGCGCTGACGGCGACTTGAGTGCCACCTTTTCGGTGGTGGGTAATTATTTTTTTCGTTCGGGTTCCGAGGCTTTTTCTTATTGAACCGGTGAATTGCTTACTCGAGCTTGGTCGAGGTTTGACTGGATTTGTATGCGATAGGTCGATCTGCTGACGTCATATTATACAGTGATGTTGCGTGGATTGGAACAAATTCATTTGAAATTTCGGTTTTTCAGTCTTTCAAATGGCACAAGTAACTTGAGCATTGCCTATAGCTAACTTAAACCTCCATGAAGCTATTACATTGCAGTACCTATAGGTCGCGTGCACGATGACCGACCCTGGAGGTGAAATATTGAAACACAACCTCACTCTTCTGTGAAACATTGAAACACAACCTCACTATTTTTGTTGTTTACAGAGGAATCAAAGGATTGAAATAGTTTTTCACAATATTTTGGCAAACGAATCGTGTTTTATTGCGCTATTTATCAATTCAAGCATGCCTTCTCATTGTGCTATTGTACAATGCACAAAAAATGCAGTGAGAGACGTAGGAATATGATTTTCCAGGTAAATAGTAATCTCACATAGTTTTCATTATGAAATTTTGTCGTTTCTTATCGAAATTCCTTGATTGCATGAATCCAATCTTCTTGCATTCTTTTAGAAATTTCACGAGTATTTACTATTAGCTCCTATTGCAAAAGGAATTCCGATGAGAAATCAGAGAAATTACCAAATTTCAAAATGAAGTCCATATGTGAGTGACTATAGTAGGTACTTACTTCTGAATCCATAATGTACTAACCGGATTCCTTCGTCTCTCGCTGCATTTTTTGTGCATTGTACAACAGCCGAAAAACACGATTCGTACGCCAAAATAATTATGAAAAACTATTTCAATCACTTGTAAACAAATAAGAAAAATGGGGTTGTGTTTCGATGTTTCACCTCCAGGATCGGTCATCTGACAGTTCTTGCACGCAATCCATAGGGATTGTGCCATCTTATACTGACGGTTTAATATCCTTGGCCCAGAGTCGCATCCTGTCTTCACTGACAATATCAAATTGTTTGTTTATATAAGGTGGGCAAAACGAAGTTATCCGATGTTGTTTGGCTCTCATTTTTTTTCTAAATGAAAAACGTCGATTCTGTTTTTTTGATTTATGTTTACCAGTTTAACAGGTATGTAAAGGTTCAAATAAACATAATCAACGAAACGTTGAGATTATTGGCAAACTTTTTTTTATGATCGATTGTACATACATCTCCGGTAGTCCGACAATCGAATTTTACATTACACGTGACCTCTGACTAACTAGTCGGGTTAGACGACGAGATATCAATAAAATCTATCTGAAACTTTATTCAGATTCCAATTACAAAAGAAACAGTCCAAAAATCTATTAATCGGTTTCTGAAAGCTAGTCAATTTTCAGTGGCTTACAACTTAGTGCATAAAGTTTAAATGCGAGGAAACTGTTCGTGAACGATCATTTTCGAATATTTCATCGTCTAACCCCACTTTTTGTGAATCCATATAATGCATCATATCAAATTCTTCTGGTATTCTTTAGTATATCTTTCATGATTTCATGATCAAACTACAAAAAATCTTCCAAGGTCCGAATCATAAATAAATTATTGACCCCATATTCTGTAATGTCATAATTTGTAGCCTATTCGACACATGTCAGAAAGCAGACATTCTGTTCATAATTCATTTCCATCTGGAATCTGAAAATGTTTCTAACCCTTCTTGGAAAAAGCCTTCGGGAACCCAGAACAGTCATCTTCAGAGAATATGTCGCGGATAAACGGACGTTGTAAACAGTGACCGTATATCTGCGACATGACCTGTAAAGAAATCGGAAAATTTTGTTGAACGATTGTGCATATTGTCCAAAATTTTCAACCATTCTAATCATTATTGGTGGAACCAAATGTATTTTCTTTGTTTTTAGAAGATGCCTATACAGTGTTATATTTTTATTATCGTTTTATGAAGCTTTTGATGTATATACACAAGTGATTTAATGGATTTAGCCGTTTATCCTGATTCAAAGAGGCCATTGATATTAGCCAGTTTTCCATGTGCATATTTTAATTTTATTTTATGTTGTATGTTATATAGTCATTGTCGTACTATTGTATATTGCAGATATGGAATATATTGTTATTATTTGATTGATTATCTCTATTGATGCTAAATACTGTACTAGAATGGGCAGAATTCGATGAGATCTGCAGGTCTCACAGCCTTTTACTTCAAACATCTCAGTGAGAAATGAATATCATTATGACAAAGTAATTGATTAATTCTTTGAAAAATGTGTTTGAATTCCAGGCACATCAAACAAATTGCCTTGGACTATCTAGATTTTTTCCGGTGCACCCTGTATAAGCGGTAATAATTTCTAATTATACCCTTTGGTCTAGTTTCCATTCGTTTTTTAATCATATTTCTAGCTTGCATTTGACTCTAGCAATCGAACTCTGACGTACTATACTGCCCCACCCTGTATCTTTTTGAAATCGGAATAATTCAATATGCAATGGAATAAAGGGTGGTTCATTTTGTAAAATATACTTTTATGCGAGGATACTTTAAATCCCTGTTTTCGGGGAAAAAGTGGTACTTTAAATTCCTAGGAAAATCTGGATCACCAGTTACTCGTAGGTCGTTGATATGGTAACAAATTTTTTATGCACTTCAGGGATTTAAGGGGTACCTTTATTCCCTATATTCTCCCTCGACAAATTACAGCCCTCCCGTTGGTCGGGCTATAAACTTTTTGTCTAGGGATTGAAAATACCACTTCATTCCCTAGATGTATAATGTACTATTTCGTTATTTTTAATGTCTTACCTATCCTAAAGTGCATAAAATAGAATATTACACACCTCAGGGATTCAAGTGTTTTTCAATCTCTGGACAAATTATAGCCCTCCCGTTGGTCGGGCTGTAAACTTTTTGTCTCAGGGTTTAGGATACCACTTTAGTCCCTAGTTGTATGATGTAATATTTCGCATACTCTTAGTAGTAAATTACCCGTTTGAACCCATCCGTATAGATATGTTCAAAGTGATGAAAATCTGTCAGTTTTTGTGGAAAAAATCCCTAATAGTAGTTTTTGAAATTTGAACCCGTAAAAGGGGTCATCAAAGTGGTTACTCCTTAACGTGAACACACTGTATACAAATGAAAAAAAGTATTTGTGTATTCACTAGACATACAAGTTTAATATATAAAATCAATAATATGAAGATCTATGATTTACAAAACGGTTCATACATATAATGTCATAGAACAAAAAATTCTAGTTCCACATGCAACATTTTTCATTTGGTATATAATGGATTAATCAAATATTTGGTACAAAAATACTAAGAGATTCAGCCCATAAACTAGACGATCAAAAAGATTGTAATCATGTCAAATTTGTATAGGAAATTATTGACAAAACTGATAATCAAATGAATGACATATCTTCAAGAATTGAGATCTGGAAAAAAAAGTCACAAAATATAAAACAAGTCTAGCGGTTATTTGAGTTATCTACATTCTTGCATCTGTATTCTTTCAGATTTTGACAAAAATGAGAATTATGGTCATTATTACAGATTTTTTTGGATTTCCTCTCCTCGTTTCTAAAGAATAAAAATATATGAGTATTATTTCAATATACATGTAATGAGGACAAACCAATTCATTCGCTTGTCAGTGACAATTTGTATTCAAAAAATATTGAAACAATATCAGGTTTCCACTTATCTTTGATAGACGTTTCGGGATCAAATCTGCTCCCGTTTTCAATATAAAAATGGAAAATATTTGTCTCACAATTCGTCAGGTATTCATCTGGACACTTCTCAGTGTCAATCAGTTAGTGACGTTGGTAAAGAAATGAGTTCCTGAATTTATCATTTTCAATCTATATCAACTGAACAGGAAGCAATGCTAGTCTCCGTTCAGAACAATGCAAGCGGATTCCTTGATTTTTCTCTTTTGGTTGTTATCTTCCGATAGTTTTAATATTATTCCACTCTACCATATGTTGTCCATCTTCAGTAAGGATATGTTCAGCTAGTTTCGATTTGTCGATGTGACTTTTCTTTATATTGTACTTGTTTCATCCTTACTGAGATTTTGCTTGGTTTTACCTGTATAAAACTTTCCACAAGTATATTTCAAATACAATTTTTTGACGATTGTTCTTAATTTTTCGGCTTTGTTTGAATTAGAATTGATCTCATTGTATTTTCAGTTTCCAACACAGTTTTCACTTGAAATTTATAATTTATAGTTTGGCCACACATAACCTTATGGAGCTAGATATTTTTCTGTGAACAATGCCGAACCTACCATAGTTAGTTCACTTTGGAAATTGAGTCTCAACAATCAGTTACCATTTTTAAATGTTCTTATTAAGAAATCGAATAACATCTTTGTAACAAGTATATATCGTAAAAAGACTCATCAGGGCCAGTTGCATAAAGCATTTGAGACGATTAAATATTTAATTCGCTGATTCCTCGAAATTGAAAATTTGAGAAAGAATCTGAGGAAGTCAAGCAAATTGCAACGTGATATATCATTGAATGGCGTCTTCAATACCGACCGAACTAGCTATAAGTATATCCATATGTGTCTATTTTGTCATATTAAAATATTGTTACATGCATTATTTTCATTCTTATAAGGAAATGTGCGGTATCGCTATAAATTGAAGCGAGTGTTTATACCCTATTTCTATTTTCCATCAACGGCTATGATTGATTTGACAGAAATTTGACAAAATCGTATCTGACAATCAGGAGCTGTTAAGCAAATTGAAAATACAAAGAATCAGAATATAATTGTCTTATTCTTTTATTCACTCAAACCATTGTTATATAGTAAATAGAAAAGGAAAGAAGTTCAAGTGTTTCAAGACTCTAGTATTCACTATTAAAATCTGAAAATGAAAATGGTAAATTCAAGATTAACTAATGAAAACATCCGGTAACTCATTTGTTTGCCAACGTCACCAATTGTCACTGAGAAGTGTCAAGTCGAATACCTGACGAAATTATTCCATTTTTATGTTGAAAACGAGAGCAGAATCGTTCTCGAAACGTCCATCAAAAGATATGTGAAAATCTGATATTTTTTCTATATATCTCTTCTCCAAACCCTTTTCAATAAAAATTGTCACTGACAAGCGAATGAATTTTTCGTTTAGGCTTTCTAATAGAAACATTTGTAAAAGCAGTGACATTCAAATTTTTAAACGCAGTGTCATTTTGGGGCCAACCATGTTGTCCTCACTACAGGTAGTAATTTTCTGTCTCCTCCAGTTCAGTGAAGATAAAAAGAGATAGAATTTCGTCTTGGTGTATTTCCAGGACTTCAGTAAATATTACCCCCAAGAAGGTGGAAAAATATAGTTTTTCACGATGATTGAAGATATATCACCCATAATAGTTCTTACAGAATCAGTAAATCGACTGGCTATATCCTGAATTCAACATATGAATCATCTTGTTTTCTATTTGTTTCCGTTCAAAGATGATAATAATAAAAAAATATTTTTGTGATCATAACTGACAAATGACAGCTTGCTGCTGCAGTCTGTTCAGAATAGCAACAAAGGTAAATCTCACTGTAAATACTTGACTATTTTGGAACAGAACAATTTCAGCAGTCAGTGGAATCCCTGACACTGTCGATGGTTGAATTCTAAATATAGCCTTTTATTATCGCCAAACACGATCAATACAGCCATGATGGTGTTTTTGCTCGCGATGTTTACAAAAAATTCAAATCATACGATACATCAATGAAACTATATACACTACAAATTAAATATAAAAGATTAAAAACCCATATAAGATCTAAATTCACATAATAGTTGATGAATAAAGCATGAAAAATGTACTTAATCAAATATTTGGTATAAAATATTATCGACGAATTAAAATTACTAGCTTATCAAATTTTCGAATCATGGATATAAAAAAATCCAAATTATTTTCCTACAAATATAACGATACATGTGTGGTGTCGCCAAATTAAAATGAGAGAGTAGTAAATATTCCATGTAAATAATCACAATAACACAACAATCATTCATACAGAAAAATTGGAAATTATCTTACCTACTCCAAATTGAACGAATACACGTGCGGGTGGTTTCAATTTCTCCCGACTTCAAGAAAAGGTAAAATAATATTGGGAGTTCAAATATATTGTTTCCTTAAAGCGACTGTTTTGCTCAGTCATGTTGACTATAATATTGTTCTCGTTAAATCTTGACATATAATATAGGAACCTCAATAACGGACCAAAATAATTAATCATAAACTAACTGATAATCTACAGTCAGATGCAAAGAACATGTCGCGGTTGGATGGTGTTAGCGCTCCTATTGCAGAAGTGACTAGAGGTGCTTTCACCTTGAAAAAAAAAACAGGTCCTGCGGTGCGGCGAGTATTTGTATTCTAGTTATTGTTAATTCATGTGTCAATATGGTTACCTTCAAGAGCGAATATTTCCGAGTGATAGGGTTCGTATTCAATGAGAAAAGCACAAAGTCATCTCCACGACTTTTTAATATGTTTTCGAATTAAATAGTCTACTTTGGTAAGTACGAGTTCTTTTATGATTCTTCAAAACAGTATTTCATTCGATTTCAGCTCATTTTGAATCTTGCTGGAAGGTATTATTTATTATTCACGTATTCAAGTCATTATACCAAATATCCATACGTTATAAACGTGGCCAATTACTCAAAATGAAGTCCTAGAAAATGGGATGGGAAAAGGATATCGGCCATAACTGTTATCAATAAAAGATATGATATTTATCAATAATGACCTCTCATATGCTGTTATGGTCATGGCTACTAGATTTTAATTAGAATTGAGAAGTGTAGCGCTTACATAGTGACAATAGGTCCATATTTCATTTTCATAGAACTAGAATTATCATTTAAATATATTTCTAGAGGTGAAAAAATTTTAATATGCACTTTGGTAGTAAAGAATAGTATTACCACGGGACCTTCTATTGTACCCCTCGGCTGAAGCCTCGAGATATAATCTGGGTTCCTGGGTAATAATTATAATCTTTACAACCTTGATGTATAAATAACTCTTCTGCATGAGGAAGGAGACTATTTTATCAAAATAATCTAACCTAACAAGGCCTAAATGAACCTTCTTCCTAGAAAAAATATTTTTCGGAAAATCACGTATATAGCATAGTATTTGGCAACAGTACATCCTTCGGTTATGTTCGGAAACTGTCGGTACATCGAAACGTGGCTCTAACGAAATGTGGGAACAACGCGATGTTAGTTATAAAAGGTGGAAGCAACGACATGATCCTCAATAAACGTGCCCACCCTCTAAGAAGCATCAAATGTAAGATCCAGGTCACGCTAGAATGAGTAAAATAGAGTGACGAAAATAGACCTCCAAATGGCTGCCGTTTCCGGAATGTCATTTGTGGTCAAGTCACTGAATAGCTAAAAATCTCAAGGGAATCTCCCATGCATGAATTTGCGCCTTCGAAGTGTTCATCTGATGTTAGGTTTAGATATTTGATATTTTCATTTCATCATCTATATAATCCGAGAATGGGGAATACCACTGAATTTTTAAAATGACATTATCGTGAACTCTATACTGAAAAACTACCAGCGAATTAATTTTGAATGTTGTCATTCATGCTAAGACGATGACAATAATACATTAGAATATGTCCATTTCAAAACACACAATTCCTGCGCCATTTGAAATTTTGTCAATTCATTGGTGTGACTGGTGCGACGTCATATTCCCAACACGCCTATTGTCCTTGAACTGACCTATCACACTGCAGAATGACGAGGTATCAGAGAGAGATAGCTACAGTTCGGGACTAATTCGTCACGACTCCACCATCATATTTGGCTGTTTGAAATATCGAATGAATATGCTGATTTCAAAACGATATAGATTCGATTCCCTTCAACTTTACATCATAATATTGATTGTACATCAAACGTAAATCATGATTCGTCGATTGAAAGAGGTTTGCACGGATTTCTTCTCTCAGTGGTCTTCCCCATTGTGAGTCCCAAAAGACGGATTGTAATTGTTAATATCCAAGGTACTGACGTATAAAGCTTCATGTCTGATTGTTGTATGTTTTGTGTCCAAAGAGCAAAAAACATGGACAAAGCATTGATTGACAAAGTGAAATAGAATGCGTAGAACTGAATGGAGTAAGCAAGACAGGTGAATGCACATCCTTATTGAGGTCTGACCAATCAAAAAGTGGACAACTATTGTCGTCACTCTATTCGTACAGTCATTCTAATAGCGTATTCAACTGGATTGCACTGACACGGTATAAATGCATATCAAGCACTGAATTGACTTCGGACAGTTCGAACCCATCTAGAGCAGATGCATGTAGATGATGCGAATTATTCTGGCACTGTATGAATGAAGCTCAACATTAACATTATGAATATTCGACTGGTATGTTAAGGACATTGTGCTGTTGGACCCTAACGCAGGATCAAGCTAGATCTAACCAACGATTTTACCTCAAAATTGACAAATTATCAAATTATTTTTTCAACTTCGAAGTATGGACAGAATAATTATTTGCGGCATAAGGAGTATGGAGACAATGCAATGTCATCATTTACTACGAATACCTGGTATTCCAATATTTAATTAAAATTTCTGGGTATCATTAATTTTCTGCTTTCCTGCTTCATCCCACTTCTATTTTATGAATTGATGACTGTTGCTCGACAATAAGGAATCAATTGCTAATAGTTTTATTACATTCATCTCAAAATCTGAACATGGCAATGCATTTGAACACCCACTAACTTTCAGTAATTTTCAGCCCCTGACTTTTGCACCGTCAAAATTTATTCTGCGAAAACATTCGAATTAACAGCGAACTCTTCTGCCAGTCGAACATAAATTTTGCTCAACCCTTGAGTAGTAGATTTTGAGCCGAATAAAAATAATATTGGTACTGTCTGACTGCACACCAGCCGAATACAAACGCACGACAAAAAAAGGAATTGAATGCGCAATAGTGCAGCCAGTCGAATACGCTATAAGTCACCCTACCCCCACCTACTTCAAATCGTAGCAGAAATGATAGTGGGGCGGATCGGGCGGCACTGGCGGCGGGTCCTGCGGGATGCTGATCCCCTCGGCGTCCAGCAGCCGCAGCTTGATCTCCATGCTGAGCAGCGTGTCCAGATCCTTGTCGGTTTCCTTGCTCTGCATCCGGTGGCCCAGCAAAGCGTTGATGCCGTCGGTCCAGTAGGCGAGGGCTAATTCGTCGGGCGCCACGCAATTCAGGGATTGCAGGTCGAGGCCTTCGAGGGCGAGAGAGAAGGCCAGTTGATGGCAGGCCTTCCGTCCTATGAGAGATTTCGTGAAATTTAAATATACTCTGAGGTGGTGGTGGTGGTGGTGCTTCCACAATTATTTTTCGTGAAATCTGAATCTACTCTTAGATAGTACTGGGTGGCGCAAAATGAATGAAGGGGTTTGAATTCCTTATAACTGTTCGATCGATACTTTTTTTTTTCAAAAATGAAGTATATTAATGGAGAATATTTTTAATTTAATTATGAAAAATTATATCTCGCTAGAACCTATTTATTTGGAAATCGGCTTCTTCTTCTCTTTAGGTTTATTGGATTTCTGTCTCCTTCCGTTAACAATTTTTCCAGATCAGGTAATTAATTTTTTTTCAAGAATAAATACTTGGTTATGTAATAATATTATCACTCGACTCGCCACATAAGACACCGGTTGTCTATCACAATGGCCTGAAGCCGTCATCAGTGTTCATAAGATTCGAACGAATGTACTCCTCTTATCCAGCAAATCCGTTGCTTCGGCCTGGTTACTGGCGTAGAGATAATGGAGCACGTTTGACTTCAAGTATGACCCCTTATCCGATGAATCCATCATCATCCGGCCTCTATACCAGCGTAGAGATAAAAGAACCTGATATTTCTCACACACACTTTTTAAACTTCACATTAAATATTGGATTTCAATCCAGATCAGGTAATTAGAAAATTTTGGACTTGCACACACATTAACTTGAATTTTAGCCTGGAGACGCCATGTTTCTCCTACCGTCGAATCTCGAAATGGGCTTCGCCGCTAATAATTAAATGAATGAAATCATGATTTGCTTCTGCTTTTTGCCGGAAATAAATTGCATAATCAAGTCTTTACTGGTGAACTATCGGTTTCAATTCCTTAACACGATGAATTTTGTGCGGAAACATTCTTACTGTATGCAAAATCCTCTGCAGCGACCTTCGTGAGAGGCCAAGTTGTGTGAAACGTCTCTGAGTCAATACAATTGACCGTTGATTTGAGTAATAAAATTCAACGATTTTCCAATTGAGTTCTATTCCATTTTGAATTCCCCAAGTTTTCCCTACGAAATACTGGGAGAAATTTGAAATAATTCAATAACTCAAGTTATAAGGCATTGGAACCCCTTCGTTCATTTAGCTTAGCGCCACCCAGTACATAACAATTTGGGGTGGTGCTTTCACAATTACATCGTAAAACCTCCAAAGAACTCGGAATACTTTACTGAAAATCTCATTGCCTAATGAAACACTATTCTCTACATAAATAATGCACCAAAACTCTGATTTGTTCCAAGTGAGACACATTTACATTTACTAATGTCTCTTACAAATGCATCATAAAAATATGAACATTTCTCAAGGAAGCCTCTCAATAATACAGCAGTAGTCAATCTCAACGTCAAGTCAACCATTTCAAAAATTTGTCACGCAAAATTCCTTTTTCAGAACGGAACTTTTTAAAGCTAGTTCGTCTGGCGCCACGCAGTTCAGGGATTGCAGGTCGATGCCTTCCAAGGCGAGAGAAAAAATATTACTTTATAAGGAAAAACTCTTCTCTACAACGCTGATTTGTTGCAAGTGGAACAAATCCACATCGAAATGTTTCTTACGAATCCATTATGAACATGAAATTTCTCAAGGAAGCCTCTCAATACTAGATCAGCAGCTAATCTCAACGTCGAGTCAACCATTTCAAGAATATGTCACGCAGAAATCCTTCTATTTCCGACGAACTACCCATTCGAGAATTGTTGCCAAGTCCATATTTATGTTGTCAACATTTCTCCCTCGTTCGTTTCTGATTTGCCTGGCTGGTATTGGAGCTCTGGAAGAAAAGGCGGTATGGGGGGTACTATCATCCGCGAAGCTATGTACTGGACATGAAGTTGCTTCCAACAAATCGTTGATATGGAGTAGTAATAGTGTTGGTGCTAGAATTGATCCTTGCGGAACACCAGCATTTATGATAAGAGAGTCAGATGAAACTCCGTCGACCATTACATGGAGAGACCTGTTTGAGAGAAAACTAGCTAGCAGAGAACATAGCTGGAGAGGCAAGCCATAAGATGGAAACTTGGCGAGGAGTCCGTGGTGCCAGACTCGATCGAATGCCTTGGAGATATCAAGTGCCACGGCTAAGGTTTCCCCATATTTTTCAATAAATTGCTGCCATATATGTGAGACGTAAGTTGATCTCTGATGACGGAAGTCATATTGCCTATCGTTGATAATACCTGAATGTTCCAGGTATTGCATGAGCTCGATGTTGATAGCTTTCTCCATGATCTTTGAAATAATAGATAGCAGTGCGATAGATCTGTAGTTGCTAGGTAGGATCTTTTTGCCTTTTTTAAGAACTGGTTGTACTCTTCCAATTTTCTTCTTTTTTCTTTGATCGTTCAAAAAATGAGCTGTGGGGATCACTTTGGGCGATTCATCTATTATAATAATAAGACGTTGCTTTGAAAGAGATGTATAGACATTTAACTGGTGCGCTTGCTCCCTATTGAAGGTCGTTTGCAAGTTTCTCGATGGCGCCTACTCTGATAAACCTTTGATAAACATACTCGACGTGGGTAAATCTCGCTAAGCTCATCCTGGTTACAATCCATATTTACAGGAAACATATTACCGACCGATAAATATTTGGATACGTATATGATTTGGATCAGAGCATTGAACTGATTCCTGATCAAAGGATCGAAACGTCAATATGTCAAAAATATTCTTGAGCTGAAAAAATGGTTATTTCTGAGATTAGGGTCAAGTGTTCGTTAGGGACGTGTTCCGTAGTTTCTAAATTTTGTGTATAATTCCTAATCCACCATAGAAAAAAGAAAATCTCTGTTCTACAACAGTATTATTTCCGTGATTTGAAATATTAGCGTGAACTGGTGTGAATAAATTCTAAGGTGAGTACCAGTTACCATATCTGCCTATTATGATTTTCGATATTGGTCTATTTCAATAGTTGATACTTTCTTTGTTCTGGTTCTTCAAAGAGGAAACTCATCAGATTTCATGCTTTAAATAGGTTCATGTCATGAAAGAAGTGAAGCTTATTAAAATCGGCGGTAATTTTGCACTTATCATGCGATGGGTTTTTTTTCCAAAATTTTTTTTGTTACTTACGTATGTTTGTCCGAAAAACACGAATTTGATAATGAAAATGTGAACAAACAATTATTTATTGAGATATTTCACTATAAAGTTACAAATTTCACCTTCTTTTCCGCCTGTTTTTGGGGCGCATTTAGAACAATTTTCCCTTCTTTTTCCATCATTGGACAATTTATATATATCACACAATGTTGGACACATATTTTTTATTATATGAGTCAACTAGAAATATGATTTTCTTGTGATTTATTCATGTTTAGTGAAAAGAAGGTAGAATATCATTTGAAATAATGGCGTGTGTGATGTCATTCCAAAGCAATCTATTAGTTGCGTTTTATTTATCCGATTCTGCCACCGGTATCAGTTTGATGTGTCGTTTTATTTGCAACTTTTCCGATTCCGGTTGCTACTTTTCATTCCGTCTCACTACAAGGAATGATGTGGAATGACTGTTGACAGGTGTCAAAAAATCAAATTAGATTGACCAAAAACGAACCTTTTTGAAAGAAAAAGACATTTAGAAGACATTTTCAGCGTTAGTTTCACTAGTTCATGATTCTTTCAAGTAAGACACGTTTCATATGTTCATTCCTAGATAAAATAAACTCTGTCGATCTCAGAGAAGTTTCTTCAATCACCACAATCACTGCTCCAAATATTAGTTGATTCAATTTCTAGACTCTTAACTCTAGTATTATGCTTTTGAAATTATTTGGATCTCCCATATACAAATATAACCTCTTATGTAAATTCTCCCAAGCAAGGTTGTGAAGTTTCTTGTTTTATTTGTGAACGTCATTCTGTTCCCACCACCGCTACCAGAATGGAACAAATAAAACGCAACTATTGACATTTGACATCTCCTATTTGGATTACCCATCGATTAAATGGCGGTCATCTGGTATGCTTGCTCACTAAATAGGAAAAACTCACCATAAAAATCATATTTCCTGTTGAATTTTCTAGCTTAAAATGTGTCATTGAAGTACATCATGAGTATATGAAGTGTCCAATGACAAAATAAAAAGAGCAAGTACCTGTAAATGCATTCAACACAAGGGGGAAAATAAGGCAAAATTTCGAACTTTTTCATGAAATATCTCGATAAATAGTGGTTTGTTCACATTTTCAATATCAAATTCGTGTTTTTCAGACAAAAATACGTAAGTACCAAAAAAATTTTTCGAAAAAAAACCCATCGCATGATAAGTGCAAAATTACCAAATCGGCTACAAAAAAGATGTCTTGCTTCTATTTCAAATTGAAATTTGAATGAAAATGTTGAGCACAGTATTTATTCGACCACAGAACAATGATGGAAATAGATTCATCCCTCACAGAACCAAGGTGTTGAACGATTTTCCGATTATGGCGCCTCTATCGCAAATACCTGAACCCCACGTCCAAAACTCGCTCGCAATTGTTCCATATCGAGAGTTAGTCTGACGAAACAATTGAAGAGTGAGCCCACCAGTTGAATTTCTATACATCTCTGCTGTGAATCTACCTTTCATGTGCGGGCAGTCTCTACCCACGAGCAGCGCCCTGATGTCCGAGACCGACAGTTTCGAGGGCAGCTCTTCGGTAGTAGGGGCACTCTTCTCGTCGCAGTCTCCGTAGTGGAGCACCTTGTGGTTGGGCGACAGACGCATGTACCAGAACTTGTCTTTGATGCGTTGCCCTCGAGCGGAATACTTGGTGAATCGGGTACCTCGAAGAGAAAGAAAAAGAGTTCAGTTGACATGATAGACAGCTCAGAGTAACTAGATAAAAGAAGGGATTTATTTTGTTGATTTCTTCTGCGGAGAAGGCATCACATTCTAAGGACCTCTGTGGAACCACTGCGAAATCGATAATTCAAGATCATTCTTCGGATATAATATCTTATTCAACTCGACATAAATAGCTCATGACAAAGAATTGAACAAACTTCATAACATGATAATACACCCATAACAATATAGTTGTCATAAATTCACGACTGATAATTCGCGAGAATCACGAAGTGTGCGGCCTCTGGTGGCTAACTTTACAAGTCTTGCGAGTATGAACAACAATTACAACAAATATGGTGACCATTGTTTGAGTTTCATGATCATGTGTTTTATTTGAAAATTATTTATTTGTTGAAGTGCATATTCCAGAACCTCATGTTTCCCTAATGGAAAAACTCCAATTATTGCATGAACTCTTATTGTTTACAATGAAGAAACCAGTACCTATTTTGAATAATATACATTTTCTAAAGCACAATTAAAATCATTATATAAATTTTGGTTGCAATGATTCGATCTTGAAAATAACTTCAAGTCCTCAATTGCTGGGGATCCTTGTTTATGTAAATCGATGATATTGTTCATTCTTCGCAGTCTCTCCAAACTATGTCTTCTTTTCTAACCCCATCACTAGAATTCCATCTCCTTCATAACAGCCAGTGATATTTCTTGATGAATTCAATTATTTCTTCATACATATACCATATTGTTGTAATAGCGATTTCTTATGGTTCCATTCCAATCCATGCAAGTGTTGAGTGGACCCTTCCAACGATTTCTTATGTTTGGAAATAGTGGAATTGTAATGTGATATGATAAATATCACCATTGTCCACAACAAAATGACAATTTCTCTGCACAAAAAGTCATTTTTTCCATACTGGAAACCTTGTACGTCAATTATGAAGATTTCACGAAGTCAACTTATTATTTACTATTTTGCAAAATGATTTCGAAATCACCAATTTACAATGGATACATAGGCATAGGGCAATGTTTTTGTTGTTCATACTCAGTTTGAAATTTGATGTTGATTTGACGTTTAATAGCGTCATCTATTGGTTCGTGATTTTCGCGAATTATAAATTCATTAGTTATTGTGAGGTACAGTTGTGTGCATAAACAAGTCGTACAGCAGTTAAACGCTAGCGATTGTGAGTCAAGTTTGTCAATATTGATTAATCTTCTTATCGACTTTGACAAGTAGTGTCAAAATTCGAACTATTTTTGTCAGTAACGCGCAAATGTGTACGTGTACTACTTTTTAATGAAATCTGGAACATCATAGGGAGGTTTACACTAGAGTCACTGGACGCAGCTGAACTTATGTCCTTTTCTATTTTCTATATCACAATGGTTTGAGTGAATAAAAGAATGAGACATATATTCTGCTTCTTGTCTTTTCAATTTCCCTAGTAGCGCCTTATTGTCAGATAAGCTTTTAGAGGTTAGATTTTCTGTCAAATGAATCATTTTCGTAGAAGGAAAATAGAAATAGGGTATAAACACCCACTTCAATTTATATACACTTTTCGCAGAACAATGTTTATTCGCGGGAATCAATGGTACCAGGTGGCGCTCGGTTTTCATCGTTCCATGTCAAAGCCACGTCAAAACTGTGGGAAAACAAACTCAATCCTCACTCAATCCCATTAGTGCCATCAGCTTGTGTACTGTGCACTGATAAGAGTGATAAGTTTTCAAATTTCTTAACATTAATTGACAATATTCGATCAAAAACGCTAATAATGCCTGTTGTAGATGTTCTTTTGGCAGATATTTTGCTCTATTCAGATGGAAAGAGCCGACCAGTAGTGGAAGGAGAAGCAATTCTCCATGCTAATCATGTGATTTTGTGTGAGGCAGAAGACTTCAACAAAAGGCACATTTTTGCACTTTGTCTACAAACTTCGGCGATGAAATCTTCCCCACATGAAGTAAAATTGAAGTTGGGGTCCAGAGCAACTCCTTCCTATAGAGCAATGGAATTGTATTTGTTCATGCAAAGCAGGACAATCTGGGTATTGTAAACATGTTGTAGCTGTTCTTTTATATGTCAATTGATTTGCTCGTCATAATTAGATGAATTGTTTGAACTATCTCCAATTCTTCACCCGTTCACTGTTCACTAAACCAATAAAAATGTAATAACGGCCTTTGATGCGTTGCCCTCGAGCGGAATACTTGGTGAATCGGGTACCTCGAAGAGAAAGAAAAAGAGTTCAATTGACATGAAATTAACCAACTCAACCATCATCACCACCAACAGTGCCAACTCTTTACATCATTGACAAGTTTGACTACAGCTACAGCAAGCTGAATGCAATGTAGTCTATGCACTTCTTGTTAACATATAATTTTAACAGTTGTTTTATGTGTTGGTCACATTGTGTTGTGCAATTTTTCATACTCATTCTGATTATAATGTCCATTTATATTCTACACATGGTAGTAAATAAAATGTGATAGATGTCAGATAGGAAAAAGAAACTTCAGTCAGAATAAAATTAATAAAGTCAAAACACTCGTTTTGTTCATTGAGTCGAAATCCAGCTCTACTGCGTCAAAGGGGTTGCTGGGACGCTGTCTCCCCAGGTTATCTTCAAATAGGCGATGCGGATGAGATAGACACATTCTTAGCTGATGAAGTGAAGAAAAATGATAGAGCAATATCCATCATACTTTTGACATTGAGTTCGAAGACCATCAACTTCTTCGGCGCTATAAATGTCGCACAGTTTATGTGGAACAAGCTTGAAAAGCTGTATACCAAAGCAGGACCCATAAACCAAACATTGCTGCTTCGCGAACTTATATCTATTAAGAAACAAGATGATGAACCCGTATCTTTCCTAATATTTACTACTTAGAGGCGACTAACGAGACCCATGAAAATAAGTCAAATGCATCGATTATTTCAAATCCCAATAACTCGAAAACAGTTGCTCGCAGCGACCTCTACCAGGAATATATTTTTCACACAAAACACAAATCTAGTTTTCTACTATAAAACGTGATGCAGGTATGCACAAAAAAGTTATAACTTTTCAAAAGACTCAAAAGACATGTAGGTGGCGCCACCCCCACGAAAGAGACAAACCAACATAAAATTTGATAGTGTCATTGAAAAATACCCCTAGAAACCAAACTTTTTTCGAATATCACAACTATTTCGGAATTTATCAACAAAAAACAGAAATAAGAATTGAACTTCAACACTATGTATTTCAGAAACGAAGAACTTTCGGACACATATTGATACGAACTTTTCTTCTTATTTTGACGTCAGCAACATGCTCCTGAATTATCTACACATACTTAAGAAACACCCTGTATAACAATCCATTATTATTTTTCAATATTTCCTCAATTTCACGAAAAATAGTGCAATTTGGATGTTGTACAAACTTACTAAATACTGCAACAAAAAAACCTACAATTTTTATATTGTGTCAGCCACCACTCATATTTTCCGACAATATTAAATAAATGTTCTTTCCGCACTAGTGTGGGAAAATGACACTTCCCAAACTGGTTTGCGTGCTGTTATAGGGTGAATCACGCAAGCTTGTAGAAAAAAAATCATTTCACCCTACCTTCCACGAGGAAAGCCAGCCGCTGCTGCCTGATCAGCGCCAGCACGTCCGGCGTGATCATCTCTCGCAGCTCGACCACCGGCTTCGCGTGCGACTCCCACTCCTCCCGCGTGTTCCTCTCCAGCTGCCACAGCTGCGTGATCTCGCCGTACGTCAGCGTGTGCAGCTTGCTCTTCAGCTGGTCCAAGGTCACGGGCGTCGTATCTGTTGAAGAACCGTTTTTCTCTTACAACCAATACTTGGTTTAGTTTATTCTCGAATTAATATTTATCATTATTCGCTTATCTCGCACGTAGAGAACGATAGGGTGACAAATCAAAGAAATGCCTAGGGTGAGAAGTGTGCTATTATACAGGGTCTAAATAACACCGAAAAAATGAAAGGTGCATGATTCCATGTGATATTTAAGGAAATGAAGTTCATATAAACATGTGTCTCAACTTGCTTCGTGTTCGAGATACAGGGTATTAATATTTCCATGAAAGATCGTTTTTTTTATTCATTACTCAATGGTCTTTTCATCAATTTCAATAAAACGTCGTGGTTTTGTTAATAGTAATATGGAGCTTCTTGTGGTGCAATTAGATTAGAAATAATATTTCCAGTGGCGTCACAGTGGGTAAATTTATAGATATTTATGTTCATTGTCCGCCACCGGTTTATCTGCGTTCTATATTTTTATTAGACTGAACTAATTAAACAACTTTTTTATCCTCTATGTGATTTTTGTATCTACCATAGTTTTTGAGGAAAAAATAGAAATTCGACTTGACTTCAAATTTCATGTACTAATTTTAATGTAGGAATTTTCAAGACTTCCATTGAGATTACTCAATAACCCCAATTACAATCATTTTGAAATTTTGGGTCTTTCTCAGTCTCCAAGCATACTGAAAATTGGCACCATGAAAACTTATACAAGGGGGTTAGAAATAATAACAATTGATACTTCCAACATCCTGTATCTCGAAAACGGAGCAAGTTGGGACAAATGTTTATATGAACTTTATTTGCTAAAATATCATAAGGAATTACCCCTCGATTTATTTCGGCATTATTTAGATACACCCTGCATAGTAAGCACTTTTATATCCAGAGGCGCGAAGCTGCATGCAACACTCAACAATTGATAAGAAGAAATACAACACCAGAATGAAACTTTCGAATGTATGTTTTGATTATTTACCTACGCTTCAACTTAGTGCCTACTTATGTTTAGATTGCAATTTTGAAAATTGTAGCATATTTTCTTGGGATTGAACATTTGGAAAATAGTATATTATACACCTAGGATGAGAAGTAAGCCGGGATTGGCGCAGTGGAAGAGCGTCCGTCTCACGGCCGCAAGGTCGTGGGTTCGATTCCCAGCGCGAGCAAGGAACTTTTTCAATATTTTGTTTACGAATTAAATATTGTAAAGTTTCGGAGCATCGGCTGGGGATAGTCCTGCACGATTCGCTGTTGCGTTCCAATTAACAGTGCTGCTCCTAAAGTGGTGCATGGAGTTAGTAACAAAGCCTACACAGAACACGCAGAAAGAGATGATGATGTGGTTGTGAGCATCAGAGAAGAAGTAGGACGGTGTATGTAGCTGGGTGTGGAAAACTACCAGCTGAGCGTGAGAGCGGGCCAGCTGCTTAGTGGACCCCAGTCTCTAACGGGGGTTAACGAGGATAGCTTGCAGGCCTGCCACTGCAGCATATGGTAGTGAGTACATAACTAGCCTACAAAACACAGCCGAAAAACTCTGAAAGAGAGCTGATGGGCGGTGCCTGAAAAGGATGTTAGCCAGCTCTCTTAAGCGAACCACATCAGTCATTGAAAACACCTTGGGGCTTGCAAAAAGGTCCCATTAGGGACTAGTTGCTGACGTGCAAGCGTCCCCCACCAGTACCAGTACCAGTAGGGTGAGAAGTGAGATATTATATTGCAAGCACTTTTATAACAAGAGGCGCGAAGTGCCGAAGGGTATAATGTGCGAGCTTCATAATAGCATTCTCACCCGAGGTATATATAATATTTTTTCCACTTATAACACTGAAAAATCAACATCTTTTATCAATTGAGATTATCATTTCCATCGGAGGAGCAATGCCATTCACCGTGTATATTCAGCATTGTTCAGCTTATTACTAAAATGTTGATATTTCAAGTATAGCCTAGGAAATCAGTTGTCAAATAAACTAAAAGGAAATTCGACGTGGCTGTCACAAAATAAACGCTGTTTTGAAATGCTATGTGAAATTGTGAGTAACTACAAAACCGAGTGGAAATATGAGTGATATTCATTTTGATAGGAAGCTTGTACCCCGCCTGCATGAAGTTAGGAAGCATATTATTATAATTATTATTATAGGTACTGATAAATATTGCAAGTAGATATTAAAAATAGAGTATTCATTAATATATTTTGAAATATTTAAACCCCATGAATATCGCACATGATAACATTGAACAGACAATGGAGTAGTACATTATATCACATCGACCGCCATAGCTGAAATTGTTATGATTGGTCAAAAAATGTGTCCCTTCCGAAATTCATTGTTATTTGAATTCTTTGTCTAATTCACACATGACTGTTACAGCTCACATATTATGATTTGGTTGTGACATTTTTATTTGAATTAATAATAAACAGATTATTCCAAACATTTTTCATAGGTACTTAAAAACTTGCTTTCAGCTGTACTGAGATTTTTAGTTTCAACTATATTGCACACGCATCGGTATCTGTGTGTATTTTGCATAATATCATTGACACAATTTTTTTTCTACCTGGGTAAATTTTCTTTATCGATTCATTATTATTTACCTAGGTTTAAAAAGTATAACTTCTTATTACAGGAAAACCTCGAATAATGGCGATTTATCAGGTTAGTGGTGGAAAAAAGATTTTTCTCCACTTTTTCATTAATGTGACATCTCTAGATTCAATAGCTGATGAGAGCAATGCTGGTCACGTTATTGCAATAGAGGAGAAGTAGGTGTATAACCCGTATGGCAGTCTATATATTTAGCCGTCTATGAGTAGTTGCTGGAGCCGAGCAAAAGAGTGACTTCCTGCCTTGTCACCAGTCTAAGCAGGAACTTCGCAGGAACTTTTGTGGTAAATAATGTGACAAGTCATGAAGTCACCTTGTTGTTTGAACACAATTTGAAAATGTTTGGGTTGTCCCGTTATTGCTTTTTTATCAGTAAATGAATTAACGCATTAGACGCAACAAATGTTTGATCTGTAACGTTAATAATATGGATTATTTCAAATTGTTCATCATTGCATATGTGGCAGTTGCTGGAATGGAGTGGGCAAAACGAATCTTTTGAAATTTTCTGCATGACGCCCTCAAAATTAATAAGGAGAAATACAACACCAGAATGAAACTTCGAATATATGTGTCTTCAACTAAGTGCCTACTTATGTTTAAATTGCAATTTTGAAAATTATATTCTAGTCTCGATAACATTCATTCTTCAATTTCATTCAATTATTGGTATTTCCTTCATTCAGAAAATTTACCTAATTTCGTGCCTAGTCTAGCCTAGGGTCCCTTGATGCAAACTGACGTATTTGTCATCTAACAGGGTACAGACAGATCATAGCTCCTTTCTCTTTTAATCATCTAGTGACTTTGGTTTCGTGTATTGGCGTTCGTGACATGACATTGCTGTCACGTCACCTTCATAGGCGTTAAGAGAGATCTTACAAAATTTCAATTTCATACTTAATCTTAATACGACATTATTCAATTCTGTTTTGGAAGGATGATGAACTGTGCTACGTTAGGCTGTATAAAACACGGGGAATCTCTAGCTGTCGCGTTGGACATATCGAAAGCATTCGACCGTGTTTGGCACGAAGGACTCCTCCACAAACTACCATCATACGGCTTACCACCTCAGCTATGCCATCTCTTATCGAGTTTTCTTTCAGGCAGATCGCTTCACGTGGTGGTGGACGGTGTATCGTCTGATACCATTGGCATCAATTCCGGCGTTCCACAAGGATCAATTTTGGCACCAACATTATTCCTGCTTCATATCAATGATCTGTTGGGAGAAACAACTTGCCCCATCCACAGCTTTGCAGATGATAGTACGCTCCATACTGCGTTCTCTTCCAGAATTCCCATTTCTTCCCAGGAAACTAAGAACTCACGGCGCAGGCAGGTCAATGCTGTCAAAGAAGATCTTGCTGACATCACAGCCTGAGGAACAAACAACCTAGTTGAATTCAACGCCACCAAAACTCAAGCCTGCTTTTTCTCTAGAAAGGCGGAACTCAGTATGCCCGATATTGTAATGTCTGGCTCCACCATCCCCACCAAGCCCACCATATCTATGCTCGGTATTTCCATCAGCAACACTCTTTCATGGGATAATCATGTCAGATCCATCGTAAAAGCTGCTTCACAAAAACTCGGATTCTTGTTCCGTGCAAAAAGCTACTTTACACCTCAACAGCTTCTCATGATCTACAAAGCGCAGATACTAGAATACTGTTCCCACATATGGGGTTCAGCACCAAAACATACGCTGATGCTCTTAAATTCCATCCAGAGAAGAGCCATTCGCCTGGTGGGTGACGCCACACTCACTCATTCTTTGACATCATTGGAACATCGATACTTCCACGGGAAATGTTCTTCGGAAATCATCCCTTCACTAGCAATACCAATCAGACGAACTAGACAAGCCCAGTCAGCACATCCTTTCGTTGTCAACCTCGAAAGATGTCGAACAGCACTTTATCAAAACTCCTTCATCCATAGAACGGCTAGGCTCTGGAATTAATTGCCTGTGGAAGTATTCCCTACAACATATAATCTCCAAAAGTTCAAAAAAAATTCCAATACCTACCTCCTGTCCCTATCCTCCCTAGGAACGCACGATGTTATTTAAACAATATAGGGATTACCTTTCGTGCGCTCCAAGCGATAAAAAAAATCAGTTGGATGGCAAACTTGAATTTGTCAGCTTTCCATCAAGGACATGGAAAGTGAAGTGACCGAATGGAGAACATTGATAAATACATCAGCAAAATATTCGAGGTAAAACTAATAATACGAAATCACATATTATACTTTTTCATTGTGCCTATAATTACCCACTCCACAAGTTTTTGAATGCATTTTAGTAGAAACAGTTTTGATTAAAACGGAGGATCAAAAGAAGAGGCATATGCCCTACCATTAAAAAAGTATACCTACATTCCGGTTATATTCAGTGTTCGTGATTCTCAACATAAATATATATAGCACACATGAAATATGAGCACATTCGTTTAAATACCTACATGAAATTTTTCACCATTTCTCAACCATAAGGTTTAGTCTGAAATCAAAATTCATTTATTGATAAGTACTGCCTAAGAACAGTCCAATTTGGTAAAACGTATTAAAGTTTCAGAAATATTTGCTCACTGCCTCACAAAGATTATGCTGGAGTTGAAAAATCAAAAACTCGAAAATTATCATCATTTGGATATAAAATGTAGAGTTGAATGAGACATTACATGTGGAAATTACGTATGATACGCCAATGTCCTCAATATAACCTAAAAAACAACGAATGTCAGAAATCTAGTGTTTATCCCCAGAAATGAATAAAGATGGAACTATATAACTGTTTCACAAACACTTTAGAGTGAGAGGAGACGAGGATCTGTCCGTTCCCTGTTAAGATGACAAATACGTCAATTTACATCAAGGAACCCTAGTTTAGCCTAGCCAAACTATGTCAATTCAAGTTCATGCGAATTTTTATAAGAAACTTATTGCTATTCAGCTCAAACTTGTTTTATGGAAATACACGTTTGTTTCTATTCAAAAAGTGAAGAAAATACAAAACCTGTCAATAGTAAGCAACCGGTTTCGGTTCGGCTAAAATGACAGTAACTCAGGGCACATTGACCATTAAAGCGCCCAAACGAGCGCCAAAACCATCAAATTCAGGGAATTGGTCGAGGAGGTTTTCCTTTGGACGTTAGTACAGGTCTATGAACCTACCCAATGCCCTGACGATCTGCTCCTGTACGACACTGGCCACCTTCTGGAAGTCTTCGGCGGTGGCGCGCATTTCCTTCCAGGTCTTGTTGAGCAGCACGATGCAGATGCAGAAGCACTCCTCGAACGGGTGGTCGTGCGTGAAGAACAACGACTGGTAGGTGACGCATTGCTCGGATGGAGGTTCTCCTGTGATAAAAAGACGATTTAGATATTATCAAGTACACTCACTGGCAAAAAAACGGCTACCACAAAATTTAGCGAAGTTGTCCACCCTGTAACTTTTTCAATTCTTGTCCGATTTTGATGACATTTTGACCAAATCGTATATTCATGTTTCAGGATGTTGGCCTGAATATAAGTACCTAAGGGCCGGTTGCATAAAGCTGTCTGTTAACTTAACGAGGAATCAACTCTTCTAACTCATCAGCTGAGGTATACGTTGCTAGGGAAACAAACAAATTAAATATTTAATCGTCTGTTAACTGCTTCAAGCAACCGGCCCTAAGAGAAGCTGATGGCTTGATCCTTATAAAGGAAAAAACAAAAGTTACTCTTTCACCCTCAATATCTCAACACACTGTGGCAAAGGCGAGCGGTTAACCTTAACTCCATTATGTTTTCGATTGATATGTGATCCCTTCTAAACACGATGATTTTTGATTGACGTTGATAACCGATTTTCAAGAGAAGATACAAGGGTTTTAAGGAAGTACGGTTTTTTCAATTTTTATTATAAATAATTCAGAACCATTCTCGAACCTTCTGCTTCATCATGATTTGAATTGAGGTGTGATTTCATTTCGTTCCTTAGCACAATAGTTCTTATTTTCAAAAGAAGTATTTTGGGAAGGTTGGATTTTTTCAATTCTTATTAACAATAATTCAGAACCAATAGAGGGGATGAACTCCAGAGACTCAATCGTCTTCGTCCGGCCTTGTCAGAGACTCTTCAAGAGCTATGATTCGCCCGTCAAGGAAAATTAGGCAATTCTCTCGGCAATTCTTCATGACCACTTGAGAAATCTGATCAACTCGATGCCACATCAACGGCCATGCTATACTTCAAACTCGAGGAGGGCATACTCGTTATTGACTACTGGTCTGCTGTTTTATTTTTTCATGTTTATTGTAATTAAGGTTTTTTCCAGTGAGTACAAATAAAAATGAGGTAGAAATAAGTCATATTGATTTCCTAAGTTGTTAATCAATAAGTATATGTCATGGAAACCACTCATCCTTCTCAAAGTGGTCCAGATTTTTTCAAAGAAAAACAAAATAACACCAGATCGGTCGACCAAAAAAACTATATAACACAAAATGTTGTGACTATTTTCGGCTCAAACGGCCATCTTCAGACACATCAGTACCTCCAAAGATATTAATTTACAGAGAACCATAAGTTGTTGAGGAACAAACATATCTATAAGGCCATGTGGATATCACATGGATAAGTGGTTGAAAGTTGGCTACTAGAATGAAATAGTTTTGTCGGTGTTAATTTGGTTTTTAATATCACAGACATTTCGTAGAAATTGATAAAATATCAAAAACTGAAAATTGTTAGATAACGTTCAAATTAGAAACATATACACACACTGGCACAATTAGAGGAACGGGTAAAATTTACACTAAGTTTGACATCAATTTTCTCTCGAACCGATCACTCGATTCAAATTTGTTATTCACGAATTGTAGCTTCATTCTTCACGAATACATCTGAGAAATAACCACCTCCAAACGATTCGTCTTTATATCATATACAGGGGTGTAAAGAAAGTACGGATTTTTCGTTATTCTTTAAGACATCCTGTGGAGTGAACCACTGATAATTCAAACGATTTTTCAACACCAAATTGAAGCCCAATCTATTCCGAATATTTTCGTTTTTTATTTATCTTGATATCCCAATTATCCAAGAAAATATAGAGTTTCAAAGAAGAGGTGGATATAGGTATTAATTTTACCACCTCGAAACTCGAACTGGGAAGAACGTGTCGTTTTTCAACTTGTTTCTGTGAGGATTTTTACTTCAAGATGAGAAATGTTCACAGTTTTACCTATCGGTTTAATGTTTAAATACACATATACGAATACTCTCATGAATATGCAGGGGTGATAAAAGTTGCTCCAATGTTCTTTTGGTGAAATGCTATTTTTGTTAATCAACGTTGGCTATTTTGTTAATGTCATTAATTATTGTCAAAGTCATGCGATTCACAATTCATAAATTTGATTAATGAAAATTCAACGTGAGACATTTGACTCCTACTGATGTGGCGAGGGCTGTAGCATTAATTGAAAATGACCAGTGGGCCAATGTTCTTTTAACATATGAGAGCCGCATCTGCACCAATTCGATAGATGGCAGGGAAAGACTATATTGCCGAGGTGAACAAAATGAACAATTTGATTTTACTGCTTCTGTTTCTTATGGCAGAGGTTTAGTCATGGTTAGGTTAGGTTAGTCAAGAAACGACACATTTTCAAATCCAATTTGAGTTTTGAGGTGTAAAATTGTTACCAATATCCACCTTTTCTTTGAAACTCTGTATTTTCTTGAATAATTGAGATATCAAGATGAATAAAAAACGAAAATATTCGGAATAGATTGGGCTACAAATTGGTGTTGAGAAATCGTTTCAATTATCAGTGGTTTCGTCCACAGGATGTCTAAAAAAATACCGAAAAATCCGTACTTTCTTTACACCCATGTATATGATGGAAATACTCATCGTTTGAAGGTAATTATTTCTCAGATGTATTCGTGAAGAATGAAACTACATTTCGTGAAGAAACAAATTTGAATCGAGCGATCGGTTCGAAAGAAAATTGATGTTAAACTGAGTGTAAATTTTGCCCGTTCCCCTAATTGTGCCAGTGTGTGTATGTATGATTTTAATAAAAACAACTTTTCTCAGTGAACTTTCGTGAAATTCAAACAAATAAGCATATTTTCAGCGATAAATTTGAAACATTTGACATGTAGCGAAAGTCACGTGACACCGACCGAGTAGTCCATTTTTCATATTTTTTAAAGCAAAACTCAACGCCCAAGTCGAATTTCGAAATAAATTATTATTAAAAGTTTCTCCCATATGATGCCGACTTTATGAATGGCACTATATAGATATCAAACTGTAGGAAAAACTCACCTATCTTCAGTATTTCACATAAAATCCTGACCAATTCCACGCTGGCCCTACCGAAAGGACATTCGTGCTCATCGGCCCGACAGCTGTTCTCCAAAACGAGTTTCGTGTAGTTCTCCGGGTGGTTTCTGGCGAAATAAATCATGCAGTCCAGAGCCAGAAGTCCGGGGGGCGTTTCCGTGAAGTCCAGCGCCGGATTGATGTCGTTCTTGAAACCGAGTTTTTTGTAATCTCTAGTGAAGCCGCCTGGGCCTCTCATGCTGCCGGTGCCTTCATTGTCGAAAGCTATTCGTCTCAGTTCTTTTATTTTGTCATGTCCGTCTTGATCCTTGAAAGTACAATGAAACACAAATTTTGTGAATAATGGGCCTTATTTTCAGTGCCACACTGTTCGTTTTCACTTTCGCATTGCTATGGTGATATGAGATGATTATGAGCAACAACTTAAATATGCTGCTTTCATAGGTGGTCGTAGGAAAAAAAAATTTTTTTCTGTTGACAGGTAACAAAATGTCACGTTTCATAAATTACTTTTTTCCCACGGGAAATAAAGAGTACTTTTTAGCTCACAGTTTGTTGACAACACAACCTCAAGCTAAAATCTACAACATTTTTCCCTTGTATAATAAATCACTATATGTGTGAGTACCTGCGGATCCATCTTGGTCATCATTCTCTGCTCCAGCAGGCCCAGCATCAGCGTTTGCAACACGTAAAGCTGATGCGCCATTTCTGCTCCTTTGGCTGCCCCCGTTTGCAGGATGTTGTTCTGGACGACGGTGCGCACCTGTTTCAGAAACGTAAAAATTATTTCTGTCCACAAATCCGTATAGACTATAGACCATTATTCGACCTCTTTTTTTTTGCCACATTAAAACACTACCAAAGAAACCAAATAATACACACAAGCAAATTAACCATTTCAAAACAGTGTACTATTACATCAAAAGTCCTACAATTGGCAACTGTGACATTGAGATCCTAACCCCCAAATTACTTTTTTTTGCCAAAATTCTATAATTTCCATAGGACTTATTTATATGGCATCATAAGTGTTTGTTGAATTATTTCAATCTGAATTTTGGTTTTGTGAGCCGTCCTCATATGGGGACGCTTGGCGTTCCATGTTGTAGTAATACAGTGAGCTCCAAAGGAGAATAATTATCAACGATAGATTGTATTTTATTGTCGAAAAATTTCAGAAATTATGAAGTTATGGACCCAACGAAATTTTCCTGTGATGAAATAATTATTGTTGATAGGCCTACAATGACCTCTCTATTAAATTCAAAGAACTATATCAGTATTTGACAACAACGCATTGTTCGGGTATGTTCGGAGACAGTGAGAAAATAAAAAAAAAACAATTTAGAGTGATGTTCCTAAATAAACACTCATATTTAGAATTTTGGAAATCGATTAAAATACATTTTAGATATTGTACATGAAAAATTGACAACGATCTCGCGAAACGCTTTATTCTTAACTGGAATTTTTTTAGTTCATCAACTACTGATCTCGCAACACTCTTTACTCTTGACTGGAATGAACTATAGTTGATCAACTTTGCCTAAAGAAATGTGGCCACATGGTGAGGTCACTAGCCGCCCTGATCTCGCAACACACTTTAGTCTAAAATGGAATGTACTATAGTTCATCAACCTAAAAGTAATGTGGTCACATGGTGAGGTCTCGAGCCGCCCTGATCCCGCAACACGCTTTACTCTCTCTTAACTGGAATGATCTAATAGTAAAGCCAAATCCAAGAGGCCAGCGGTAAAGAAAGTGACTAACGCGTGATTATATTTGGAATACTCTTCTATTGGTCATAGCGCCAGGAACGCCATGTCTCTCTCACGTTCTTGATGCGTGATCATAGCATGCTACAGTGTTTACGGCTGGCCTCTTGGATTTGGCAATACTGTAGTGCATTAACTGATCTCGCAACACGCCGCTTCACTCTTAACTGGAATAAACTATGGTTCATGCAACCTCGATCCTTCCTGTTTGGACGTGAGGGTGGCATGGGACCTTCTATCAACCGTTTTTAAGAACAAAATATACAAAATCGGAAAATAGTTTCAGGGTCAAATGGGTTGGATGCCCTTTGATTTAGAATGGGGCCTTCTGCCCTCAAAATCGATTAGAGTTCTTCGGCTAGCCCCGCCTTCTCTATGAGACTCCATAGGCTAGCTTTCAAATACCCTGTGTATCTTTGGGTTTCTGGTTTTTCCTCACCCAGCGTAAGGAACCTTAGTCATGACAAGCCCTCACAGTGGCAAAGTATGTGTACTGCTGTTTCCTCTTCTTCCTGACAGAACCTGCACAGCAGTTCTTCAGTCAGACCTATCGTACTCATGTGTTTGTTGAGCCTACAATGCCCTGTGAGAAGTCCCACTAGTATTCTAGTTGAACTTCGTTCCTGGCTCAGTACATATTCTGTGAATGTTGGCGATGGTTTTTTAATAAACTCTTTTGTCTGTCTCATTCCTGGCGAATTGTTCCACCATTCTTGAGATTTGGTTTGCATCCATGATTTGATACTAGTCTTTTGTATAGCTTTCGCAATACCACAGAAGGGTTCTGGGCCATTCAGAGATTTGTTTGCTCCTGCTCGGGCAAGTGAGTCTGCCTCTTCATTGCCCTCTTACCCTGTATGTGCTGGTACCCATGCTAGAGTCAGTCTGTTCTGACTGCCTAGTTCATATAGAGTTTCTATGCAGTCCCATACTAGTTTTGAGTTAACTTGCAAAGAGTTGACTGCTTTGATGGCAAATGGGTTAACTGATCTCGCAACACGCCGCTTTACTCTTAACTGGAATAAACTATGGTTCATGCAACCTCGATCCTACCTGTTTGGACGTGAGGGTGGCAGCCAACGCCCGCCTCTTCGCCGTGTCCGCTCGCGACAGCAGCGCGTTGATGAGCGCGACGGCGTTCTGCTGCACCACCGGCGGGGCCTGCAAGTGCGCCACCAGCGACCCGATGGGCACTTCGCGCTCCACCTGGACGATAAAAGAACCGAAAATGTCAAAAGCAGGGAAGTCATCATAATAATAATCTTGATAATAGGACAATCAATACAAAATCATTCAACTCTGTGTCAAATAAACTATTAATCAATAAGGGTGTCCCACAAGGCTCTGTTTTAGGACCTATACTATATTTACTGTATGTTCAAAATATCAGTGAAATTGGTCTAGCGAGTAAATATACCATGCATGCAGATGAACTTTTATATGAAGTCAAGAATCCTTCAAATTTAGAAAATATGATGAATGAAGACTTGAAAATATTATTTTGAAAAATGGCTCCACTCTTTTATTGATAAATACTAACAAAATAGAATATATCGTTCTTCACCAAAAAAATAAACAAAAAATTTACCTCAACCTTAAAATGAAAAACGAACACTTGAAACAAACTGGCCAGATAAAATATTTGGTATTTGGTTTGATGACAGGTTGAAGTGGGACAAACATATTCATGTTCTGACAAAAAAAATATCTCCAATTATTGGTGCATTGAGAAGATGTCCCAAACTTGATATTAAAATTGCAAACATGATTCTCTACTCTCATATACTGAGTCGTATCAACTATTTAATAAATGTTTGGGGATCTTGTTCAAAAAATAATTTCAATAAAATATCAACATTAAATGGAAAATTGTTAAAAGTATTGTATCGTCTCCCATTTGACACACCAACCAATCAATTGTATGATATAACAAATACGTATTATTTAGATGAAATATATAGAATTGAAACTCTTAAAATATCATATATCATAAATAAAAAATTCAAGTCGAATATTATTTTGATACGGAATTATGAAATTCATAATCATGAAACTAGACAATATAACTTGTTTCATCTTGACGCCGCTAGCTCCATAATCAGACAAAAAAGATTCACTCATTCAGCCTTAACTGAATTCAATAAACTATATAAATAAAATATAAAAATTTGCAGAAATATAGGTACATTCAAAAATGAAGGAAAAAAACTGATTATTTTTGAGCGAACTGGATAAAATTAATCATTTGATTGCCAACGTCACCAATTGTCACTGAGAACTGAAAAGTGTCAGGACAAATACGAATTTGCCATCTGAAAAATACATTTTTTATGTTGAAAACGGGAGCAGATTCGTATCCGAAACGTCCAAAGATAAGTAAAAATTTGATATTTTTCTATATACCTTTATTTCTCTTCTACAAATCTTTTTCAATACGAATTGTCAATGACAAGCTAATGCATTTTTCTTTTAGGCTCTCTTTAAACGCAGTGACATTTTGGGGCAAATCATCTGATTTGTCCTAACTACACGTATATTGAAATAGTATTCATATTTTTATTCTATAGAGACGAGACGAGAGAAAATCCCAAAAAAATCTGGAATAATGATTGTTCTAATTAGGTAACTAAAAACACAAACAAATTTCATTTGATACAATTTTTGCAAAACAAAATTGGAAGTAATGATTGAATACAAAATAGTAGATATACAGTGTCATTCATAAAGTTTGCTGGGCGCCGAGTTTGTCTATGCGCTGAAATTCGCTAGTTAAGCGTTCACGATGCGAAGGTACTGTCGGTTCGAATCCTTCTTGGCATTTTTCTTAAAAATATGTGATTCATAGTTGTAATCCTGGCAGCACCTTGAAGAAGTCGTTCAAGTTCCACTATAAGCTGTAGGTCCCGCTATTCCTAATCCCCCTAAGTTTCGATTTCTGGGGAGTTGGTTCCCAACTTCGAAGTAGCGATATACAAATTTTTCAAAAGAAAAAATATGGGAAAACTTATTTATTGACCTTTTTGATTTCTTCTAATTATAACTTTGACAAAACTGTCCGAAACTTAATGTTACCACATATTAACATTAAATTATCTAAATACATAATACCCAAAATATCATATGAGTGTTATGAATGTTTGAAAAGCATTAAGCATCAATGTTTTAATTATAAAAAATATATAACTTGTGTTATATCTGAATAATGACGGGTCATTTCGGAAATCTGACTACGCCACTGGATTCTTTTTTTATGTTCTGGTTCCCACGAAAAGGGATATCCTGTAATGTTCAAAGAACATCGTGAGAACCTAGGGAAATAAGATAGGAATTGGTGTTCTTGAATTTCTGGAGGTTATATGCCTCGGGGAACACCTCCCTTGGCAATGTGTTCCTGAGCCTCGCTGTTCGTTGGATGAACGAGTCTTTGAAAAGAGATGTTCTGCAGGTCTCCAAAGTGACCACGAAGGGGTGCGAAGCCTCAACTCGACGGTTTAATCTCGCGGGGACTGCCAAGGGTGGTACAATTGTTGATATTTCAGAAGAGCATCATTAATGAGAATATCTATAAAATAGAGCCAGATCGCCAACTTTTCTACGGTGTTCCAGAGAAGTGAGTGAGTTTTGTGACCGAGGCATCACCCACGAGACGAATTGCCCTTTTTTGGACAGAATCCAACAGTTTCAGGGTATGTTTGGGTGCTGCACTCCAAATATGGGAACAGTATTCCAGGACAGTTCGGATCAGTGCCTTATAGATCATAAGCAGCTGACTGGATAGCTTTTGGCCCGAAACAGAAAACCAAGTTTTTGGGATGCACTTTTAGCAATTGATATCACGTGATTTTCCCAAAAAAGGTTATTGCTGATAGTAATACCAAGCACCAGAATGGATGTCTTCAAAGGTATGGTTACTCCTGACAAGCTTATGTTTGGCACAGTGAGATCGGTTTTTCTAGAGAAAAGGCATGCTTGTGTTTGTTTGCATTGAAATCTACCAAGTTATTGGATCCCCATTCGAGAATTCTTGCCAAGTCCATATTTATGTTGTCAACATTTCTTCCTCGTTCGTTTCTGATTTGCCTGGCTGGTATTGGAGCCCTGGAAGAGAAGGCGGTATGGAGGGTACTATCATCCGCGAAGCTGTGTACTGGACATGGAGTTGCTTCCAACAAATCGTTGATATGGAGTAGAAATAGTGTTGGTGCTAGAATTGATCCTTGCGGAACACCAGCATTTATGGTAAGAGAGTCAGATGAAACTCCGTCGACCACTACATGGAGAGACCTGTTTGAGGGAAAACTAGCTAGCAGAGAACATAGCTGGGGAGGCAAGCCATAAGATGGAAGCTTGGCGAGGAGTCCGTGGTGCCAGACTCGATCGAATGCTTTGGAGATATCAAGTGCCACGGCTAAGGTTTTTCGATAGATTGCTGCCATATATGTGAGACGTAAGCGAGTAGGTCACCAGTTGATCTCTGATGACGGAAGCCATATTGCCTATTGTTGATAATACCTGAATGTTCCAGGTATTTCATGAGCTAGATGTTGATAGCTTTCTCCATGATCTTTAAAATAATAGAAAGCAGTGCGATCGGTCTGTAGTTGCTAGGTAGGGTCTAAAAAATGTATAAGAGACAGTTTTGACTTTTCTTAAGTTGAAAGTTAGCTGAGAGAAAGGGTCCCATAATGCAACATTTTCAGTTTCGTCCTGTATCTCAAAAACACTAAGCGGGATATGGGCATTTTGTTTGCGGTATCGTGAGTTTCACAAAAAAATAGACGACGTTCGCGGAAACCGCCAATCTCTATCTCCAAAAATAAGTGAGATATTCCGTGAGGACATTTGAAATGGCAACACAGTAGCCTTATTCACGCCACATATCTATTTTATATTGATCTTTCCATGTATTGATAGCATTTGATAGTCGTTCATTATTTAAAATACAAAATATTGTTCTTCAATAATGAAAATAATCACCCCCCAAAAACGCTAGCTATCGATGGCATGATATACATACCGGGTGTTTCTCAAGAGTGGCTCACCCCTATAACTTCATTGTTTCTAGAGATGAACAAATCAAATTCGGTGTCTAAGTATAGTACATAAATATGAAATTGTTGGCGTATTCAATTGTTTTCTGTCACTTCAGGTTTGACCGAAAATGACAACTTATTTCAAAGATAATAATAATAATAAATAAATTTCATTTCAAGGAATACTACAATATATGTATACAAGTGATTACATAAAGTAGGATTAAATGGAAAAATCGTCAACAAAGGATATGATATGATAGTCACTTGTAAGTTCTACAAATATTTCCGAGATTATATGATTCGAAAGTTCATGAACTCTGTCTCATCATATGGTTCGATAATCACATTCTGAGTACGATATGACACCCTATTTCTCACATTTTGACATTCATCATCCTGAAATTTTCAATTTCTCATTTCAAATCTAGAGTGCCATGAATGAGTTAAGTTGGATTGTCAGAGTTTTAACAAATGATTACTATCAAATTGACATCTACTCACCAATAGTACCAATATTCTCACTTTTTTACTGTCAAAATTTACATAATTATTGTATATTAAAAGACGAGTTTGAAAAGTAATTATAAGATAGGGTGTTCTGAGTTTTGCACCTAAATTCTAATGTAACGAGATTGAAAATGAAAGACGTTCGCTAGATAATGTTAATAATTTTTCAAGGTATTCAGTCTTTATGCCAAATGTTTATCTATATTTACAAGTTCATTAGCAAGTTCAAGAATACAATAATGTCACGGATTCTTGAACAACAACCAACTGTGCATAAACAATGTGGTGTGTTCGCGTTCACAAAATTAACAGTGTGAGACCATTAGAAGTAAACAAGCAAGCTTCACCACATCATCCTCTTCAACTTCAGACGACACAGTGACAGAAATCCGGAAACAATTTGTCAAGAGTAAAAACACAAGAACTTTTTTATCGGATAAATTTCTCTTGCCAATCAGTAATTTTACGAGAAATACTGACATGAAAAAATTGCAAGGTCGGACAATTTTTTCTCATGTCATGTTGTTGGGGTATTAGGAAGCAGACAGCAGATTCAAGACACTGGAATATAGGTAGGTACACAATTATAATTGTAAAATTCATCATTTATTTTTCATTTTTATTATTATTTTTTCTCAGGATGGGTTCTCTGGATCATTTTTATTGTTTCTATAGAGCTAATGATGTGTCCAGACGCAAAATGATCGAGTTGTAGAGTTCGAAGCATTTTCAAATGCCGCGAAATTTATGGAGATTATTACAGCATCCTTCGAGAAATGCGACTGAATGACCCTAATAAATATTTCAATTACTTTCGTAACTTGCCGTAACATAACTTCTATAAATGGTGGGACCAGAAATAACGAAATTACATATGACAACAGAACCCTTACCACCGGCAAATTTTGTTGCATGACAATGGACGACAAATTCTGTTGAAAATTTATGACTTTGCAATTCGCATGAATCTAGCGGAACTCGTACAAGCAAGAAGATACCTTGATTCCGGAGAGTCTGAAGTGGGCAATGAATCCGACGATGAGGCTCCTTTAGCGATTATGGCTAAAATATCAAACGAGGTAAACCAAGAGATTCAGGAAAATGTCCCCGACTCGATTTCTCACAACTTGGTGGGTGCCAAAAAAACATGTTTCTAATGAAATACAAAGTTGTGATGATTTATTCAGCACCCCTGCCAAAAGTAGTGTTTATGAAAGCGCGAGAAACCGTCTAACTTCGGAAAGGGCAGGAAGCTCAATGTTGTTACATTATAACTTGCCAGAACTTTAAATATTGATGTTTTCTGACCTTGGTAACATTATAAATGGCCGATATACCGGCACCGATATCGGTATCGGTCGATCCCTAAAAAATACCAAATCATGTCTCTGTAGTATTTATGGATATAAAAATTGTTTATTCATTTACAAGTGTCAATAATTCAAAACACGCAAATACAAAATTTATAAAAATAAGACAGCTTCATAATTATAATATTATAAATAAAAATGATTTCAACACACTCCGATTTCGCAAGTTTGTGCAGTTTCCAACTGTGAGAACACGGGAAATCAATTCACTCTATTCGAATTTCCATGGGATAATGTAATTCTACGAAAATCGAAACAGAATATGATGCGGCGGCATGGAATATAGGTTCAGGCCACAAAATTTGCGAGGTATTCAAATTTCTTGGTAGGCTATAGAACATTTTTCAACGCATTTTTATCAGGTACACTTCAGAACGGAAGATTTGATGTTGAAGAATAGGATCGTATTGAGAGGAAGAGCCGAACCCACAATTTATAAACTGAGCGAGTATCGAAAAGAACCTTGTTCCAATTTAGAACCAATAAGAAACGAAAAACTTGCAGATAATTGAATTCATATCGAACATATTTTGAAAGAAAAAGGAATATTAAAAAATCCAAGGTTTATGAGATATAGAATAGAAGAATGATAGAGAGTTGTAAAATAAGTTAAAGCAAGAAGATTTAGATACAAAAGTCAGAGTTAGCAAAATTCAGAACTATTACTTAGAAAATATTTCAGATTTGAAACAAAATCAGCAAATATTCTCAGAGGAATACAAGAAAATTGAACGAGCAATTTTGAGCAAAATTCATAGTTTCCATGAATACAAGTATTCTGAATTTTTCAAGTTTCAGAACGCTATTTTGTTAGGCATCAAATTGCACAACTTTGCCATAATTTAACCGACCCTGTCATACGGTTTACGAGATCCCAATGATGAGGCTCGAATTCCAGCCACTCTGTACAATGTATATACCAACTTAATATCGACCTCTATTGAGGTCCTTCAGCCTTATCATTCAATATTTCGAGAAGAAATAATTTTCTAATCAATTTATCGTACCCTTTTACCCACTCGAGGAGACGCTATGCACTCTCATACAAAAATCAAAGACAGAGAAAGATATATGGATGTTCTCTTCCCAGGACTTGTGGAGGAAGGAAGATGCGAGGATCCTTTATCTAAGCGAAAAAACAATGAACTCAATATAAACAACTGGAAGGGACCCTCTGTGAACGACGAGTGAGGCAAAAATATTGTTCAGGCAAACCACAGTGTTTACGGATACCTATCTCTCTCCATCTTATGTTCGCTAATGGGAAGCGCTCGCATTATTTGAAATATTTTCTCGTTTTTTGCTTTTATTTAAGAGTAAACGTGATTAAATGAAAATATTCATAAAGGAAAATGAAATTATATATTTTCATTCAAATGTCAGAATAGTTTTTTATTTTAAAAGTGCAAACATACTTTTTCTTTAATTATTAATCAACTAGGTACCTATAAGTTTTCTTATTTCCCTTCAAGGATCAGTATTTTTTGGTAACAAATGCTTAGGAAATGGAAATATACTGGGTACAGCATCTGGTTTCAATAACCTAGCAGTACCTGGTATGTCAAAATAAATAATCAGTTGGCAGGAAATGCTCTCCACAAAGCTTGCTGGTTTTAGATGGAGTCCAACTCTCTCTATGAACTGCCTCAATCCATAATTCAAGAATGTCTGAATGGAAAACTGCAACAAATAATATTAATACATAGATCTAAAGAGTGTATTTAGATCTATGCTTAATATGTTTATGGAAAAGTCATGAAAGTATTTAACTTTGACAAATAATATAGGTATAGTTTTTTAACATATTCTGAGACTGGGAACATTGTACACCTAACTGATGATCATGTCAAGAACTATATTTTCCAAAAATCTGAACAATATTCAACTTACCCACCCATGGAATGACAATTTCCTTTTGTCTTGCTCGTTCTTGCATCCAAAGGCGACACAATAAATCACCATTGCTTATCAAAACCTTCTCAACAATCAGCTCACAGTGTTCATTCCTTTTTATAAAACAAAACACGCCAAATGAATAGATATTTCACATAAACAAAGACATTGAACTGTTGACTTTTCTTTCTTGCCTGTTTAGATGAGAGAAAAAATCTAAAGTACTTTAATTATTAGATAAAAGAAAACGTAAACACCAATCCACCATTAAACAACACGAGTAGGAATGAGACAGGTTACCGTAAATCATGCTATCTTTGTTGCAGCTGCCCCTGGCATACTTTGTGCTATTCGAGAGAACGGCCGTCTACCTTCCAGTTGTATTGAGTTCATTGTGAAAAACATTCTTGTCTTTGTCTGGCAAAACATATGATTTTCTTCAAAATCGTTTGTGGTTATGTTTGATTGTCACTGCTTGTCTAGTGTCCGTACTCTAATATTCAAAAAAAGGTGAAAACAGCAGTGTCAAGTACATTTAGGAACTCTATGTACCAGCCTAAGGAAAAAATGTAACTACCTAAAATGTCTACATACCTGTCCATAACCTTCAGAACTGTTGAGGACCACATTCTCTAGAATTGACAGAGCTGCTTGGGTGACTTGGGCTTCTTGTGACGTGTTCACGAAACTCGCAACTCTAGACATGAATTCCCCATTCAAAATGTCCCAGGAAACGATGCCGTGCTCCATCAGTTCCACGAAAGAAGATAAAGTGTGAGCCAGGGCAGTACCTTTACATTTCCCAGTTTCAATTTGCTTTACTATGAGGGTCAAACCTTGCTTATTGATGAAGTCAAGGGCGAATGTCATGTCAGCGCTCAAGGTGGACAGTTTGCTCATGGCATTCACTTTTTCTTCTGCAGTACCTGAATCGAAGTGAAAATGAACAAAAACTATTCATACAGGGCGGCATGGATATAAATGTATATACAGTGTGTCCCACTTACCATGCTCACCATGGGTATCTTTTTAACGGGGAGAGATACGAGGTCGGTTAAATGACACCAAATGTGAAGTTTGTCAAGGCCAACTATAATGTGAAAAAATATTTTGATAAAATCTATTCGTTTTTGTTTTATACGCAAAAAACAGATTTTGATCATTCTCATGTCTCCTCCGTAACTTCTTTATTTATGAAAATATTCAAATAGTAATTTCACAATCTCATGGCAGTTTTTTGAAGTGATTTCGAAAAAAATATGAAATTTATACCAACTCTTCTAGAATTTGAGATATCAGCACCAACTTCAGTTTTTCAGATGTAGGTCATAGCTCACTATGACTTAGTTACAAATAACTTTTTTTCCTCTTTCAGATGATGTGTTGCAGTAATAGTTTTGTGTTGATAACAACGGAGTTATCGTGATTTATACAAAAACAAAAAAATATTTGGAAGCCGCCATCTTGAATTTATAAATTTTAACAAGAAAATCATGATCTCCGACCTCAAAAACCCCCACTTACCAATTTTGAATGGAATCGGACCAAATCTTGTCCGCCATCTTGGAGCAGCCATTTTTTTTTATTTCAACAAAAATTCCATAACTCCGATTAACTTGAAATTTGGCTGGTGTTCATAATTTCGGTGACAATGCATTATGGAATTTTTGTTGAAATTAAAAAAATGGCTGCTCCAAGATGGCGGACAAGATTTGGTCCGATTCCATTCAAAATTGGTAAGTGGGGGTTTTTGAGGTCGGAGATCATGATTTTCTTGTTGAAATTTATAAATTCAATATGGCGGCTTCCAAATAATTTATTGTTTTTGTATAAATGACGATATCTCCGTTGTTATCAACACGAAACTATTACTGCGACATATCATCTGTGAGAGAAAATAAAGTTATTTGTAACTAAGTCATAGTAAGCTATGACCTACATTTGAAAAACTAAAGTTGGTGCTGATATCTCAAATTCTAGAAGAGTTGGTATAAATATCATATTTTTTTCGAAATCACTTTGAAAAACTGCCATGAGAATGTGAAATTCCTATTTGAATATTTTCATAAATAAAGAAGTTACGGAGGAGACATGAAAATGATCAAAATCTGTTTTTTGCGTATAAAACAAAACCGAATAGATTTTATCAAAATATTTTTTCACATTATAGTTGGCCTTGACAAACTCCACATTTGGTGTCATTTAACCGACCTCGTATCTCTCACCGTTAAAAAGATACCCATGGTGAGCATGGTAAGTGGGACACACTGTATATGTACTGGCTGCTTGAGATCACTCCAGATTTTTGCTAATATGGTTGTTATGATCTACTAGTATACAAGAGATGCTGGTCAATTTATTGAAAATAGAAATAATACAAAATGTTTTAGAGCCAGAAATCACAAAGGTGTTATCGCTTATCCCCTGAGGTATGTAGGTCAATGGGTATGAAGGTAGGGGAGGACACGGCGACAATAGGTGTACACCATGTTCGTGAATGCATAGTAATACTTGGGGTATTATAGGTATTATCGGCATTATTCGAAAATGATCGGCATTAAATGGCAAAAGTCGGCATTGAAGAAGAAATTGCGAAATAGGCGGCATTAAGTGGGAATTATTAGGCAATAGAATCGAAATATTCGGCTATAGATCGGCAATGATCAGGAATAAACGGCACTGAATGACGTAAAAGCGAAATAAAGTTAAGGAGGGTGTCATACTGTCATATTTTAGCATAATTAGGATATCGTTATCACTTTTGGAAACCAATAATATATCTTTCTTAGGAGTGATTTTCATATGTCGTTTATTTGAAATACCTCAACTCCCAATGTATTGAAAGTTTAATTGGGCAATGCAGAGAATGTACCTATATTCTTGGTTCCAAACACACCGGCGTTTGGACAGAAAGAAATCGGTGTGAAATAGGCAGCCATTTTCGAGCAGCCAATTTTCACTTGGCCGCCAAATCTCCAGTGGAGTGGGATTTATTATTAGATGATTTAATAAATCAAAAACACCCCTCAGAAAAGTTCAGTCAAGTTGATACTCTGCACATACATTACTAAGTAGGTCTACTACAGCATGTTCTGAGATGATCAATTTGCAGGCCGTCTGATGAGTAGTTAACTATTGAGAGAAAAACATAACCACCCCTCAAAAAAGTTTAGCCAAATTTATATTCTGCATAGACATTACTAATTGGGTCTACAACACCATGTTCTGAGATGATGAATTTGCAGGCCTTCTAAGGGGTAGTTACCACCCTTCTAACTATTGAAAAAATCATAAAAATACCCCACAGAAAAGTTAATAATCCAGACAATAATAGGTATTTAAACGGAAGAAATCACTGTCAAGAAATTGAAAAAAATATATACCAAATATATGCAAATATACACCAATACATTAATATTTTAATATATACACATTATAAATTCAGAGAGTATTTTCAATATGAAAAAAGAAAGATCTACAAGAAAAAATGAAAGTAGATACATATCTTCCTACTCATCTGAATTTAGATATGTACACTCATCTTCTGAGAACATGTTGTGGTTGGACGGTGTAAGTGCTCTTGTTGCAGTTGTCCATGTCCTATGAAGACTAGTATACATACCTACCAGTTTTCGTGACCAGCCTTTCAATGTAATAATAATAATAATAATAATAATACAATAAAAATATATGTGGTGCAAATATTAATGGAATTAATATTTATCTTTGTTTTTCTGAACCAAAAAGTATACTACAAAACATTTGGGATAATTTAGATCCTTATTCAAATTCCAGAATATGTATGTCTGCTATTAATAATTTGTTGTTGATAAAAACAAAACACACTCTCATGGAAGCATCTACAAGGAATAAGATTCACTGAAATTATTAGCCACCCAAGAGAAAAATAAGTTTTATGGTATTTTCAAAGGGAATACAGATATATTTGGAATTGTTAACAAGCATAAAAAATATTAGGTATTCTAGTCATATAAAACATTAATAACAATCTTCAGCATTAAAGCATTGATCTCAGCAAGATCACCATTAGTGCAATAAACTGGCATTTAATGTTGAAACTGGTAATAGGTGTACATAATTCTGGAGCTCTTCCTGTCCAGATTTATCATGTAATTATTCAAATTAATTATCATTAGTTATATTTTGCAAGATATTTCAAATGTTTTTACTCCTTTTGCACCTTTATAGTATCTTTCTTATTATTTTCAGTGGTAGGTAGATGTATCCTGATTGATTTGATGTTTTTGTATGAAATAGGTATCAGAAGTTATGTAAAAAATACTAATAACCAAAGTTGGTAGAATTGATGATTATTTCTAATAACAAGTATAATGACTAATAATATCAAATACTTTGAGGCAATCCCAAGGGGAATCTATATAGTGGTAGGTATAATTCTGGATATAGTGAATATCTATTGAATTAAGTAGGAGATGAAGTAATAAGTACTTTAAAAAATTTGTTCTACTTACCTGTATTGAGTTTGTTTAGTATATCTTGAGCTGTTTTTGAAGGTGAATACTGCAAACGTAATACAGATCCATTTTTAATTTCATTCCTGTTTTTTTCTGTAATATAATTATTATTGTTGCTTTCATTGAACTGGAGGGCATATTGTTCTGGTTCTGTGAGATTCCATCCATTGCAGAGCTCCTGAATGATACCTGCCAGAGGTTGTTTTTGGTTGAATTCTATTAGTTGTGGTACTTGATCAGTCATTTCGACTGCAATTTTAACAATACTAGCATCCTTCATTGCAGGCATTTTGAGATTCATATGCTCCTAAATTATTCAATTCCACAAGAAGGTATCAGGAATAGGAACTGAAGGATCCTCATTGATTATATTGTTTGTTATTGCCAGAGTTATTGGTAAAGGTCATTTTCATTATTTTCCTTTTGAATTTTTATATTCATGGCTTGTTGATAGCACAAAAGTCTCATGATTATTAAATTTGCAACTTCCTGTTGTATAGGCCTAATTTATTAGGATATAAAATGATTTCAATTAAATATCACTCCACTTTATGAAAACTCATAGACCTCAGCCACAGACATTTTCCTTGATTTCAATCCTTGTTTTTGTCAACTTTTCAGCTGTTTATAGGAGTCATTTTTATTTTGACATTATTTTCAAGCAATTTTCAAGCAGCTGCAGTGTCTCCTCTGCCGACGGCGGCTCCGATTTATAAAGAATCCCAGTGACTATAGGCACGTAGATGTGCACGCGAAATATTTCGCTGCGGCTAGATTCACGTTGGGCGTGTTTTTCATTCCATCGAAGAAAGTGCGCATTGATAGATGCGGTTTTTTGTCGTGACGTCACCAATTGTTCTGATGAAATTTATGCTGGAACGATGGAAGAATGGATTATACAACACATTGATGTAAAAAAGGATTTCGTTGTGTGTCAGTCGTTATGTATCTTCAGAATTAGAAGAGGATGATACCATTTTATTGATTAAGACTTATTTCTCCATATTCTCAAATCTCTCAACAATCTCAAAATTCAAAAATTCCTCTATATTTTCAATTAAAAACGAGAAACAAGACGTAAAATGTGTCAATTGTCATGTCAGTCTCCTCCAAACCGCTGGATTCCCGCAAAGCGATTTGAAAGTGCGCATTTTATTACAACAGTTTGATGGATTAAGGGATTTCCAACAACATTCCAGCGGAATTTTGCAACACTACGATGGATTCTTCGATTCATGCGCATGACAAAATGTTGGAATGAAAAATACGCCCGGTTGTCCCTGTAATTTATTTCTTGCAGACACGTACATGACGTCACTCCCAGCAAATTATGTTTCAGGTCTGGGTTCAAGTTTCGTTTAGCTGAAATCAGTTATGGAAAATTTGTTGCTATGGCAACCGTTGTCATGGTTACAGGTAAACAGAAAACAAAATCCCGTGGTGAGGAAATGCATGGTTGCCAAGTTGTATCGGGTTTAGTATAGCTGAAATCAGTTATGGACAAACTGTTGCCATGGCAACGATCGTCATGGTGAGGAGTTAACAAAAACCAGATTCCCGTGGTGAGGAAATGCGTGGTTGCCAAGTTGTATCGAGTTCAGTTTGGCTGAAATCAGTTATGAAAAAACTGTTGCTATGGCAACGATCGTCATGGTAACGAGTGAACAAAAATCTGATTCCAGTGGTAAGGAAATGCGTCGTTGCCAAGTTGTATCGGGTTTAGTATAGCTGAAAACAGCCTCAAATTTTGTTCCACAAAAGTTCTTGCTAGTATTCAAACAATAACTTGATTCGAATGAATACCCTTCTTATCAATTTCTTGAAGACTGTTCGTCGTTGATAAATTCCCAAAATTACTACTTCTCTGGCGATCATATTTGGAAATAACATCAGGAAAAAATAGGCTTTGTTATTGAACAGAGCTAGACAAAATAGCGAGCGACAAAATAGTGCGGAACAATAATAGCGCATAAGGAAGGATACTACTTTTTTTGAACAATCTAACCTAACTTAAATGAACCTTCTTAGAAAACATATATTTTTCATCATCGATCAGATTTGGGAGCAAGGCATCGTTCGTGTGTGTTTGAAGACTGCATAGAAAAGGACACTACTTTTTCCAAACAATCTAACCTAACTCGACTTGAATCAACCTTCTTCTTTAAAAACATATATTTTCCAACATCGTTCAGATTTGATAGCAAGGCATTGTTCGTGTATGTTCGAAGACTGTTGCTGAATCAAAATGTGCGCGTGAAGAAATGTATGGGTGAATCGAAATGGAGGCAAATGGAAATGTGGGTGGGTCTAACGAGATGTTTCCATCTGTATTAGACAATCAGTACCTGTAGTCTCTCTTCCTATATCCTGCGCGATACCTCGTAATGAATATTCCATAATGGCTCTGTTTCTTTTTGATTTTGTCGAATAGCTCGGCACGCGAAGGATGGTTACATTGAAGAGTGTTTTTGAAATTGATGAATGAAGTAATAATTCTCCGATACAACTTGGCAACCACGCATTTCCTCAAAACGGAAATCGGATTTTTGTTCACTCTTTACCATGACTATCGTTGCCATCATGGCAATAGTTTTTCCAAAACTGATTTCAGCCAAACTAAACCCTATACAACTTGGCAACCACGCATTTCCTCACCACGGGAATCAGGTTTTTGTTTACTCCTTACCATGACGATCGTTGCCATGGCAACAATTTTTCCACAACTGATTTCAGCTATACTAAACCCGATATACAACTTGGCAACCACGCATTTCCTCACCACGGGAATCGGGTTTTTGTTTACTCGTTACTATGACGATCGTTGCCATAGCAACAGTTTTTTCATAACTGATTTCAGCTAAACGAAACTTGAGCCCAGGTCTGTGATGTACTAGTTCCGAATCATTTTGAATGATATGAATGTGATTTTATAAAAATTTAATAAAAAAACACAGTCTATCTAACATCTCTAATCTCTATAGATAACTCTCTCCTCCTCTCCTCTCCTCTCCTCCATGAAAATAGTGCTGTGGTGGTTTCATAAAACATTCATTATAATTACATAATCGATCGTTACATTATAATTATAAAAGATAAAACGAGCCCAACTTGTTAGTGGTCTCTAGTGTAATGTGAATGTATTTATGAACACAGTTAGTATTGACCAGAAATTGGCTTTATTCAACAAAATACAGCATGACATGTGATATGACATAAATAGATAACTAATCAAAGTAACAGGACAAATGATGAACTTCGGGAATACGGTGTGTTAACTAAATATTGATCATTCTAGAACACGTGATTTTGACATGGTTTCTTGAGGGGCACATGAACTATCTGTTAGGTTACCTTTGATGAGCATTGCCCAGGCCGTCCCTCTGCCACATCCACAATATAATAACAGTTTCACCAAACCAAATTATGAGATTCTCTCTGGTTCCAACTCGGATTCCAAGGAAAACGATCCCACTAATTCTGGTTTTATATGACAGATCTTGACAAAATACAATGTTTGCCCCTCAGCAACCTGTCAAATGACGTAATTCTGGAATGATTAATTATATTAGACAAGAAGACAAGGAATGATCATCACACACAGTCATTGTTCTTCTATGCTCTATATTTTCAAATTTATAATGTAGTGATAATGTAATGATAATGAATGTTTTATGAAACCACCTTTACTGTTAAGGCTGATAGTGATTCGCTATTTCAATTATGTTTTTTCGGAAATTTTCTGTAGACTTGATTCCGCGCCAATTATAAAGGTATTGCTATTATTTTTTGTATTATGTGAAAACATTCCTTATTCAAATTTACGGCCAATATCAATGATTTGAACTTACCACCAGGTGAAATCGCTCTGATTGGTCTATAGGAATCGCCTATACATATTATGGGTGCGTTTTTCATTCCAACATTTTATCATGCGCATGAATCAAAGAAACCATCAAACTTTTGCAAAATTCCGCTGGAATGTTGATGGACATCCATCAAACTGTTGTAATAAAATGCGCACTTTCAAATCGCATTTCGAGAATCCAGCAGTTTGGAGGAGATTGACATGACAGTTGACACATTTTAGTGTTGTTTTTTGTTTTGATTTGATAGAAAACAATTAATATTGAGGATTTCTGAGATTCTTGCGAGATTTTAGAAGAAAGAGTCAGTGTTAATCAATAAAGTCGAATTAGCCTTTTCTGATTCACAAGATACATGATGACTGACACACAACAAAATCCGTGTTTCCATCAATGTGTTGTATAAACCATTGTTCAATCCTTCCAGCATAAATTCCAACAGAACAATTGTTGACGTCACGACAAAAAACCGCATCTATCAGTGCGCACTTTCTTCGATGGAATGAAAAACACGCCCTATTATGTTCTGGGCAAACCGGATTCGTGCATTTTCATGCCCAACTGGTCGAGTAGACACTGCGATATTTTTTTTGCATATGTCAAAATTGTAAACAAACAAAATAATTGAGGTTACGTTTTTTTCACGTAAACTACTCTCCTTGGGCACGACCACGACCTAGGCTACATTTGTTAATTTTACCATATTTAGATCTATGGTTTTCCTAAGGTTTTCATATTCTGATCATTGCAATAACTTCAATCAGGAATTTTTCCTACTTTTCAAATGAGTTCTTCAACTAGAGTTGGCTATCAAAATGGCCCCAATAAAGGAGCTCTCTCCTTGTTAACATGCTATGGTGATGGAGATAGCTCAGATGATGATGTACCGGGACCCCGAGTATCTACAAAAAGAACTCATAAGGGCGATGAAGATATTTGTAATAAAAGGTAATCCCATTTATTTTCACATAGAAGGAAACTGTTATATCAAGATATAGTGAAAATAGCTCTCAGCCAAAGATAATCTTTGTCTAAAGTGGTGATTTTGTCCTATTACATCCTACTCTAAGTAGAAATGCATGGGGGCACTGGAGGTGGGACTTCTCACCAGGTTCACCCTTGGTTTAGGAACCCTTGCTCATTCTGTACCTAAAGGGTGGAATGTTTTATTTTTTTTATTCCATTGACCCAAGTGTATAATAGCCTTTTGCCATTTCTTCACAGGTTATCTAAGCTACCAGTTCCTGATGTTTTGAAAAACAATAAAACAACACCTGATGAGTATATCAGTGACCCCTCCCAACATGGTGGTAGAATAAGAACTTTTGCTCATGAAAGGGGAAATTGGGCAACATATGTGTTTATACCCTGTAAGTAATACATTCAACTTAAATATAAGGAATATATACTCACCCAAGCACTCACCAGCAAAAAAAAACAGCCACCTTGAAATGTTTGTTGAAATGGATTTATATTTGTTTGTGACATTTCATATATCCCTTATGAGGGGTGAACCAGTGGATGAAAAATGTACAGGTATTGCCCTATGGGCAATATTTTCAGGAAATATTGAATATATTCCCAGTATTTTTTGTTATTGGGCAATGAAATCATTATTGCTTGTATTTCTTGTGTATTGCCTACACTCCCTACAAATACCAGAATATTACTTGTATATCTGCATCTATTGCTTGTATTTCCTAAATATTTCCTGTAGCACAGTAGAGAGCTTACAGAGGTAGGTAATATATATATTTATGAATAAATGACAATAGGTAGAGAATTATTATTAACATCCAATTATTATTAAGATCATCTTGAAATTTAGTTCATGTTTATAGATTACCATTAAGAATATCCTAGGAAATATTCCATTTTACTACTTATTCAATATCATTTTCACACATTTGCCTTCATGGATGTATAATTTGATTAATATGTTCAATCTCATGACAGGAAGAATCTCTTCCCAGCTTGGTGTGTAATATACTATTTCTTCCATGAAACTTGATACATAATTTTATTAACTTATCTTCTAAACTGCACCCTTTTCGGGTGACATTTGAATATAAAGAAGAGAGCTATGGCAACCATTTTCTACTCATAATATGCTATGTTTCATGCGTTTTTTTTATAATTCATGATTGCTGAAGATTCTGAAGGGGTAGTGAGTGTTGTTCTACCCAACTTCTACACCACTGAAAAAAGTACAGTTTTGAGCCGCCCATTATATAAATAATAATAATATATAAAAGTAATACATATTGGAAAATTTGATAACACAAAAACAAATATATTCAAATATACAATAATATGCAGGGGATTATTTTGAGAAAATTTACTTTTTCACTTGCCCTGCAAAATAATGATGAAGGTTCACAACATGGTTCACTATATTAGACTCCACTTCACTATGCACTATTTACTCTGCTTCAATCACTTGAGTTCTGTGGCTTCAATCCACATACACATTTGCCTTCATGGATGTATAATTTTGATAAATATGTTCAATATAAGTATTTCCCACATGCATGACAGTAAAAATATATAAAAGTAATGCATATTGGAAAATTTGATATCACAAAAACAAATGTATTCAAATATGCAATAATATGCAGGGGATTATTTTGAGAAAATTTATATTGCCTGTATTCCCAAAATATTGCTTGTATTGCCTATGTATTGCTGGTATTTCCTAAAAATTGTCTGTCTTTTGTCCTTTATATTGCCTGTATTTCTAAAATGTTGCTTGTATTGCCTGAATAATCCTCGTATTCCCTGATGAATGCCAGTATTTCCAGAAAAGGAATTTTCTAAAAATTCCTGTATTTCCTTCAAGGTTCCCTTCATATTCCCGATATTTCCAAAGTATTCCTTCATTGCCAATTTATTTCTTGTATTTCCAGAATATTGCCTGTATTGCCTGAATATATCTCGTATTTCCTGATAATGGGGAAGACCACTGATTTTTTAAAACGGCATTATCGTGAACTCTATACTGAAAAACTACCAGTGAATTAATTTTGAATTTTTTCATTCATGCTAAGACGATGAAAAAAATAAATTAGCATATGTCCATTTCAAAACACACAATTCCTGTGCCATTTGCAATTTCATCAATTCATTGGTGTGACTGGTGCGACGTCTTAGTCCCAATACGCCTATTGTCCTTTAACTGACCAATTACACTGCAACACTGCAGAATGACGAGGTATTAGAGAGAGATAGCTACAGTTCGGGACTAATACGTCACGACTCCATCATCATATTTGGTTGTTTGAAATATCAAATGAAATGTGCTGATTTCAAAAAGATATAGATTCGATTCCCTTCAACTTCAACTCATAATATTGATTGTACATAAAATGTAAATCATGATTCGTCGATTGAAAGAGGTTTGCACGGATTTCTTCCCTCAGTGGTCTTCCCCATTGCCAGTATTTCCAGCAAAATGTACAGTTAATTCCAAAGTTGTTCACCTCTCGATCTCATTTCAACAAGTTACTCTTCAACCTTTCACCAACTCTCCACTCTTTTGTTCAAAATGAGAATTTGGAGGGCGACTGATCTTTTTCCCCCTTAGTTCTGATATACCATTGGTATGACCTGGGATATCAACACTTCATGTGTTGTTATTTCTGTAAGAGATGTAGCAAGATATAGAGATGCTACTTCTTCATCTTTTCGAACATTTTCAAGTGAAAAACTATTCACATAATGTCTGAAATGATATAACTGGATATAACTAACAATTATTCTACTCTGATGATGGCTCCACAACTAGCTCTACAATATTCAGTTTCATGTTTTATCCCTAATGGCCCCAATGCAAAATACATCAGGAACCCCCCCCTTTCGGTCTCAAATCAGGAATAAGAAATGAAAATAAAAGGAGGAGCTAAAGGAGCTTTACATATAAGTTGACAAAATATTTCTTCACATCAAAGAGAAATAAATAATCTTGAAAATAATTTTAGATCTCCTGACTTTAAAATGAAACTCAACGATTTTTTTATCAAAGAAAAACAGAACCATGAATAACTTTGGATTCAAATTAACTTATTAAAGGTTATTTTTTCTGGCTCTATACACATTGCAAATACATTAATTATACAAGGTGTTTTTGAAATAAGTGCACATATTCAGCACATTGATATGATACAGTCTAAGGAATATTCCCTTGATATCAGATTTTTTCTAATTCTTCTAATCAACGAGAAATTTCATCCCAAAATTGAACAAAATACAAGAAAAAAATCAAGCATGCCACTTTAAAATAATTTAAATGATTGAACTCCGCGTGATTGTGCCTACTGCATGGAAATTTGAACAGAGGTGACGTCAGAATTGCTACAGTGTAGAACTTTGGGTAGAAAAAAGGGTCTAACCTCGCAAGCCGTTAGAAGGGGGCAGCGAAAAATAATAACCTGAATCTAAGTTCTGAAAGTGAGGACGCAATGATTTCTACACCCTGAAAATATCATGATGGGCCTTTCAAAATACTAAGAAAACAGCTGTTCAGGTCCCATCAACTCGCAAGTCGTCCGAAGGGGTCAACGAGAAATAATAAAATAAAATAAATTCTTAAAGTGGGGACGCTATGATTTCTACACCCTGGAAATATCATGGTGGGTCTTTCAAAATATGAAGAAAACAACTATTCATGTGCCATCAACTCGCAAGCTGTCCGAAGGGGGCTGCGAGAAATAGTAAAATAAAATAAATTCTAAAAGATGATGCAGTGATTTCTACAAAAGCCATCAACAGTGTATATATGTGATATATATCCGGGAAGAAAGTACTCACTTTTTATAACCTGTCAACAGAGATGAAATTTAACTTTTTTCCCCTCACAGAAAAAAAAAGTTCGCTTGGCAGATAACTGCCAATAGGTTGATTTGAAAAAAATAACAACAAAATTCGGAACTGCTACAAATATTCGCTTATTTAAGTTTGTTTTGGGAATAGAGAATGAGTAGTCAAACTAGTGCCCCCCCCCCCAAGCTTGGGGGCCCCAACGCCATTGTTCAATTCATGGAATATCATTTACATTATTACCATTTTCATTATTGATGCAGCTGAACTGAAATAATTTTCAGTCAAAGAATGTGAAGGAATCATGGAATTGTTATCAGTTATTAAAGATGCTATTCCAAGTAATATAGAAGTGAAACAGATTGATGAATTTCATATAAGCCTCACAAAAACTGTGATATTAAAGCATCATTGGATTGACTCATTCATTGACAGTTTGAGAAAGAAAACATTCCAGAGCAAAAAGTGAGTATATTTATGGAAGAAAGTGACAAATATTTGATAAGTTGCTATAAAAGTTGATTTTTTGCATCAATTAGAATAAGTGATCAGGGTCATATTTCTACTATTATTATTGTGATATATGTGATGATTGATGTTGTTGGCTCCGATAAATTGGACAAAAAAGATGATAGCAAAATACTATAGATTTGTTGAATAAATTTCTGTTGGATGATGAGGTTTGTTGATGTTTCAGGTTCATGATTTTGTTTAATGATCTCAAAATATACTGTAATGAAGAACGGACTCGAACCTTCATTGGAATGAGTATCAAAACTGGACATGATTCATTAGTCAAATTAGTGGAAATTATGAACGAATGTTTGGGAGATTTCAATCTTCCTCATTTTTATGAAGTAAGTATCAGTTGACTATGGCCAAGTTCCGATATTACTGATTATTTTCTTTCTATGATTTTAAACATACATACGTAGAGTAACTCCGCCAATCAGAAATTTAGAATTATTTTCATAGTACCCAATTCATATTGGTACATACAAACAAAGCGCATCGTAAAATGTTGACGTTACTTTAGAAGTACTCGAAAAATAATCACATCAAATACAATTCGAACTTCAAACTAAACTGCTGATCAATCGAACCGCATCAAGCACATGTTTGCTCTAAATTCAGCATTGAATATTTTCGCGAAAATTCCACTTATTCGGATGCGGTCTTCATTCTGAAGATTGATCCATTGGGTATATGACAGATAGACCGCTGATGGTAACACATGGTAACCTCTGGCTATACAGGGTGACAAACGAACCTCTGCAAAATATTGAAAAATTCTCCATACTCCCAATTTGATGGACAATTTTTGAGATTTTTTTACTGACCAGAAATATTCTTATTTGTAGCTCAAATAATATCACATATTGCCTTTTGGATGAGCTTTTGTGACCTTTATTTTATAAAATCTTATATTGTTTATATACAGAGTGTTTGGCAACAATCATTGAAATATATAATTACAGGAAGACCGAGCACAACACATTGATCAACTTGTATAGTGTTCGAGATTAAAAGTGAGAAATTGAAAAAAAAATTGTCCACTCGCCTATTACAAATCCTGTCAGAATAATCCTCCTGCTTCGCGGTCGGATTATTTCAACTGTCAAACTGAAATTCTTTGTAACTCGGCATATTTTTACCTCAGGAATATGTGCAGACCTTTTAGGAACACCCTGTTGTGAAAATAAAATGTTTTGTTGGTATGATCTAATGCAGGTGTAGAACGCCTGACGACAATACTGCGATTTCTGCAGGCTGCCTCAGAATGAATATTTTTCGAAAACTGACAAGATAACCCCAATAAATTATATACAGAGCTTGTCATTTTAAACGCCCCCGCCCCTCTATATCTCAGCTATTAGTCGTGCCATTCGTACCTAATTTAGACCAATATTAATAATCATCAATATGATCAGTTTTTTAGAGACGAACATTATTTTGGAAAGCACCGTGCTTTTTATCGAAATAAAAAGGGGTCGATAATTATGAAATCACATTAGGCATTTTTTTTGCAAGAAAATCAACTTATATTATTGTTCCTCATGCTTTCAAACCTCGATCCATATGCATGAAATCGCCTCATTCCGAATTAACACGATTGGTTTTTGGATGTATGACAAATGGTTCTACTGCTAATATATCCGCGACACTATATCCGCGACGAAGAAATTTTTAATTTATTATTTAAAAAAAAAGTTATATTAGAATTTGTCATAAGTACAATGAATATAATACAGTACAATAAACGCGACAACAACTAATCAGTCTCTTCTAATTTTAATCAAAATACAAATCAAAGTCCGGAGGGGGCAGAAGGAAATCTAGCCTTCAGAGCTATCTATAGGCTCAAGTGCAAAGGTGAATAAGTTGATTCAACAATCACACCTTGCGATTAAGTCGTGCACTGATCCCTTCGTCCATGCTTACAGGAAGACATCTTGTCACAATTCTGTAGACTGTATCGCAACACCTGCTAAATCTCAAAGTGGTTTAATGTTCCACTAACAGATGATGAAATCAAAATACGAGAAAAAAAACATATCAATCAATACAAAAAACTTTTATTACTGATAAAGAGACATGATAATATTTGTTGCTAAACGATGGTTACTTCTATATGTATATATGCACCAAATCAAAGCTAACAACGGGCAGGAGGACGATCTATAGGCTTCTAAACAACCCAACCTAACTAGGCCTGGATGGTGTACTTTCTTCCTAGAAAATATATTCTTCGGAAATTTACTTGAGCGAACCAAATAGACTACGTTTTATTAACAATCTAACTTAATTCGACCTGAAAGAACCTTCTTCCTAGAGAATATATATTCATCGGAGCGAACAAGAGATCAATTTAACCTAACTCGGCCTAGAAAGTATATTTTTCGGAAGATTACTTGCGAACATTGAAAAATGTCGACCTTCGCATAGGTTGAACACGAGCCGCGAAGAACGAATTGCCTCTCGCAGATATCGCACAACAATAGGGAAAACATGCCGGACTTCAAATTGAGGCCAGGTGTTTGAAATGTTTTCCTCATTGCTAAACGTCATCGCAACGTTAGATGATGACCTAGAAATTCGCCAAATGTCAGCCACCGATAGAAATGGCGCATCTGGACGCTTGTTTCGGGTGCTGGTTTTCTTCCGGTATTCTCGTTCTTGAAGACTGCAATGTCTACAAATAGGTGAGAAGAAATGATAGAAATCAGAATGATGCATATCCATCGATATAATGCCATGGATATACTGTCGCGCAGATACAATGTCGCGGAGTAAATGTCGCAGACTTACTTTTCATTGGTCCACATTTGTTTATTTGTTTATGCTAATTGGTCACAATATCAAAACAAACCGCTCAGAAGTGTTCAAGCTGTTGCCGCTGAGTGGAGCGACGTGTTATTTCCTATCGCGAATAATGGCCATAAATCAACCAACATGCTACCTGAAAAATTGATATTCATCATACAGGACGTGGAAATAAATTCTGACCTGAGAAAACCTAGTCACGAATCTGCGATTGAAGGTCAATAAAAATCACAAGTTTCCATCATTTTCAGCCTCGTAAAAATAGTGGACTCAAATTAACTGCAAATTTTGGAACGTTCAATGGCTCTGGTAAGTAAAAAAATCATGATTTGAAAGAAAACATGAGATATAGAGGTACTTTATGTTCCGAATAAATAATTATTACGTTCGCTAAAATGCTGTCAAGATGTGCCTATTTTTTTGAAACCCTATATAGGAATCATAAGAAAATGTACATAATATGGGAGTTTGGAACCATGAAGAACAATTTTATGGGGTCAGGAATTGACCCATTTTCAATTTAATAAAAACGCACGGTACTGTCGAAAATGATGTTCGTCTTTGTGAAAAACTGATCATATTGATGGTTATTCATACCGGTCCAAATTTGGTAGGTACAGATCGCGCGAGTACTATCTGAGATATAGAGGGTTGGGGGCGTTTGAAATGAGACAGGCTGTATATTTGAATTCAGAAGAAAGAGCTATACCGATTAGGAAAATAAAATACAGGGTGTTACATTCAAAAAATGCCAGTTGATGTAAAATTTTTAGGTTTACAACTTTTTTGCATTTTCTAGTTTTAGATTCTGAATGCCCATAAAAAATACTCAATTTTTGCCCGTTTGAACTTTTCTCTAAGACCAATATAAACTGAGATATTGACTAAAATAAAAACATTCACCTGCAATTACCAAGTACATAACGGTAGCTCGTTTTCAGGATCCTTCTTTTCATATGAGCATTTGTTGGTGCGTTGGGGATTATGAAGAGGAACTAAATTCGATAATATCACAGGTCAACCATCGGTTTCATGAGATGATGGATTTCTATTCCCAAGATAACTGGTATATTTATGTTTCTTTTCTTACCTGCAAGACCGGGAATAAATACTTCAAGTTTCACTTGACCTGATGGTGCATCACTCAGTATTGTATCAGTATCAACTGATACATTAGTTAACTGGAATAAGCAGATATTCATATTCATGTCATGAGACAGAAAACCGTTTGTCAAGTTACACATGAATATCTTTTTGTCGGAAGGTGCTGATTGTTGAAAATTTATACTCGGTGGATACCAAACCAGTTACATACTTAATTTTGATTCTTTAGTTTATTTATTCCCTAAGAATTATTCAAAAAATGTTTACAAGAAGAAGCAGGCTCCCATTTTTTCATAATTTTTCAAATAATTTTGCACATCAGTTTTCCTGATTTTGTATTACTTCATATTATGGTTATTTATGTGATTACTAGTCATTTTAAATGTTCATATCTATATAATAGAAATTCTTCTGATTTATAAGTTTCATTGGAGTGCTCAGTTCATTACTGATAATAGCAAAATATTGAATGATATACAGGGTGTTCCATTTGAAAATCAAAAGTTCATTTCGAAGTCATTTCCGGCAAAACCATAGTAAAAAAATAGCAAGTTTTATTCAAAAACAGAGAGCCGAGTCTGCCTCTCCTGCATCTACATTTGGAATAATTATTATAACATAAAGTTGTTTCTTACAAATTTGTTGACTATGCTTATTTTGACCTGATAATTCTCATTAGGAAAGAATATAGAATTCAGGAAAAAAATAGTGTTCAAAGTTCTCTCTATATTTGTTGAGTTTACTTTTTGATGTCTCATCAAATATCAAGGTCATTTATAAAACAAATCTTGATGAAGATTTAATTGTATTGTTTATTTTTTATTCAATCAAAATGATAAGCAATGAATATCTCAGTACATAAATCTTATTCTTAAAGGTAACATAAATTCAGTAAAGCAATAATTGGACTATAAACAATGTTTTATTTACAAAAAAATGTATATCTGAAACCACAGAAAGTTACTGAAAGGATAGGTAGTATTATTTGAACTTATATACTTCCAAATGAAACATGACATCCTCTGACCTATTCTTCCATTAAGTTTCTTTGTTCCATCAATAACAAATCAAACAAAAACTAGTTACAATAATATACAGCCAATTCGGTATGCTAAATCTAGATGGTAGTATGCTGTCATCCAATAGGAAAACCACCTCACTTTACATTCCTAAATTAATCCCTGTATTGACTTTTACTCAATTAGAGACTATTCTCAAATTTGTACTCATTCAATTCAATATTTTTAACAGATTATCTGGTTAAAGGCGAATGACATCGCGAATATCAGAACTACTTTATGGGCCATTACTGAATTGTTTACATTGTTTGGAAGTGTCATATAAAGCACATTAACAAAGTTTGTGAAGTATCAGGCACCAATTTCAGGTAATAAGTTCTTTTGGCCTCAGTCATACCATACAGCAGCCATTCACAAATACCAGACAAAATCATATTAAATTCTAACCTGTCAGAACATATGGCATAGTTTACCTGATTCACCGCCAGCACTTGTTTATTAATAGTAGAGGGTGCCAAATGATAGTAGGAGGATGCATCTGAGTGCTTTTGTGAAATGAAAATCTTGATTTTACGATGCGTTTATTATTCTATTTGAAGGAGGCCAACGAAATGTATCATTATTATATTTTTCGAAAAATCATTCATCTGCCAGAAAATTGAAATTAAAACTAGATTTTGACTCGTTAATGAATTTATTTGCTGCTCTGATTTATATTCAATTACTGTATCTACGCACAGTAAATATTGAAACAGTATTAAATTCTATAATAATTAATGATGAATGCAGAACGATATATTCAATCTTATGTATACGTATATTCATTGATCTATATTGATCATTATTTTGTTTTCATTCTCACAAGTTTTACTTCCTAAGTTTTTCTTTGTTTACTTATTATCAATATATGTATACTTCCAATTTATATTTTGTAAACACATTAGAATAAACATTATTATTATTTTCATTACCATTATTATTATTATTATTGTTACCATGGTGATTTTATGTAGGCCTCGGCAGTACAAGAGACATTAATATGGTGCCCTGCAAACCAACCAATAATTGAGTTTTGTACTGATTTTACGTGATGATGATGATGATGTTCCCATGGATGACATATACCGGAGGTGTTCAATGTTCAATTGAAACTGGTGAAAATAACTCAATGATTAAATTATACCAGCTTCGTTTGTATTCATGAAAATATACTCACCAACACACAAAATATTATAGGTGTCTAAAGTCTTGATTAAACGAACAGGAACTTCTAAGAATAAGAAGTAAAACAACATTATAATAATTGGTTACACTATCAACCAATTTAGAAATCAAAATTTCAATTGTTTTAACCAACAATATATTTCAATGACTTATTGGAGATAACTAAGACTCATGGTTTACCATAAAAATTGACTATGACAATACATCAGTTGACAAATTACCAGTCGTTTATTATTTGTAATAAACTATTCGTTAATTATTTCTAGATCAATTCAGATGTAAAAAAACTCTGAATCTGCAATAAAAATGTTTTGATTGTAAATGCAGAGGGGGCTTTGTATTTTCCTTAGAAGTAAGGGACTTTGATGTTGAATCGGTAAATATGAATCTGAAATTAGATAAAAATCATTTTTCCTGAAATGTTTACAGTCTTCAGTATTTACTCGACTGCAAATAGTGATCATATAGTTTAATTTAATGCTGATTATTTCATTTCATTCGTTTCAATTTTCAAATGAACACCTGCTATTTTGGTAATATTGCACTTCTTCAAGGCATTATAAGATTCAATTTTGTTAGAAATAATGAGAATGTTTACAATATCGAGTAGTATCTTTAGCACAACAGCCTAGAATGAAAACTTCATAGAAATGTTTGACCTTCAAACTTTGACGCTTTTCAAAAATGAATTCTACATTCAACTAAACTACTTGAAACTGAATAGGAAATATGTGGTTGACATTCTGCATTTTGGATCATCTCTAGAATGCTCTAATTCTAAAATAAAATATTTGTCATCTTTATAAGATTTGAGAAAAATAGTTTCAATCACGGGTAACATCCAATAATCGAAACACGTAGGTGATTTTTGATTGTTTCATTTTAATTGTTCTTCTTGTATGAATATTGTAAGTCATTAGTATATTTTCAAAAAATTGTTGACTGTTTCTTGCATTGATGAGCATAAACAAACTAATAATGTAGGACTTGTTCAGTTGATACAGTAAAACTGCTTTCGGGGGTTGTTTATTACATTTTTGTTGTGTGAGTTGAACACATTGGTATGCCTGAGAGCTCTGGGTACTCTGTATAAACGATCTCGAAATTTCGAAAAATCCAGAGGAACATGTTAGTCCTTGAAAATACAAATGATTGAAATATTTTTAACTAATCGGAAAAGCATCAGCTCCAAACATACAGTTATAGTATTTGCTGTACTGAGTAGTAAAAAAATAGTTGCTCTCTCTTAGAAAATTGTTTGGGAGTTATGTTTCTGTCTCATGATCATTTAGAATACACTATCCGAGTTTTCGAATTTCAGCCACATATAAATTCCTATTCACTTTTGAGTAGCTCGAATTTAAAAGCAATCAAAGTTGAAGGGCGTATCTCAGCTATTTTGATTTTGATATTGAATTTGAGAAGGAGAGGTAGTATATTCCATTCCGAACGTGTGATCCAATTGCAACTGACTGTCTTGGTTGATCTCAATGTTGTCAGAATCGTATTTGATCCCGCGTTTGAAACGACCGTAGAGCGATGAGTAAGGCAGGTTATAGTGGATAGCTGCTTGATTGATCGACATGTGTCCGAGTCTATAAACAAATAGATCATTAAAGTGACGGATATCATTGATACTCAGAGTGGAGTTTATACAGGCTAAAGGTTAATTTATTAACTTTGCAACGGTAGCTGTATACCTGCCACCATCACTGATATACACTACTATCAAGACCACTAGTGGTCATAACCCAACAACCCGAAAATCTCATCCATATTGCTCGCTTGAAAACGCTTCTGCTGAATGCAAACTATTGTTCATGTAATCGAGTCATGTCTCTTGGTGTTCGGAGACATAATAGTTGCGTTTCATTTGTTCCATTCTGGTAGCGGTGGTGGGAACAGAATGCCGTTTACGAATAAAACGAGAAACTTCTTGATCTTGCATAAGAGAATCGACATAATATTATACCGGGTGTCAACGAATCTATTAGACAAGTTATAACTTCTAGACCATTAGGTGTATCAAAATATTGCAAAATATGTTCTTATGTTCCGATCATGGCCACCTAGATGTAATTTCAAAAGTGACTCCGAAAAAATTAAGTGGGCATAAAAACTTTCCAAAATGTCACATTCTGATCTAGAATTGTCTCAGGAATCCAAAAATGTTACAATATACAGGGTGTTCCATTTAAAAATTTAGAACCGGAACCATTTCCGGTGAAACCGGAAGTGACCGGGAGGCGGGAAGTGAAAAATATGTGAAAATTCTCCTCTTTTCATACCATTTACCTATACCAAATCTCATTTTGATACACCAAATGGTGTAGAAGTTATGACTTGTCTAATAAATTCGTTGACACCCGGTAGATGATGGATGTTATATTATACAATATTGGGGCACCGAATAATTTCATAAGCATAACACTTGAGTTAATAATCTAGAAAATGTGTAGTGATTGTGGTATTTGGAGAAACTTCTCTTCTCTCGAGAGAGAATACATTTTATCTGTGAATGAACATATACAGGGTTGGGCAAAAGTATGGAACCAGGTGAATATCTCGGTAACCGTTTGTTAGATTTTTTTGAATATATGTGAAGGGCGATTTCAGAACGTGGTGGATTTGAAAATGTTATCGTCGATGTTGCCACTTTTTCAGTTATTCCGGAATTATTATCAACTTCCTTATTTTAAATAGAACACCCTGTATTTCATTGAATTTGCAGAGTCTGCCTGAAAAGCTGATTTCATCGATTCATCACACTTGGGGTCTAGCAAGGA